CGCAGAAGAAGACGACAACGATGAGATGACTTGGACCGCAGTGATGACGATGACTCGCTGGGAACTGCATTGGCGCAGCATGAAGCAACTTAATCTCTTTCGCTATACTCCAGTGTTCGGCTAAGGCCGGAACAACTCCTAAAATGTACTCATTCTCCGCATCCGTTGTTTCTCACACAGATAGATCTGTGGTGTATTCTGTTGTGATAAACTGAGCAGAACCATGGTGCGGGATTTGTCTCAAACCCGACACGAACCAAAAGAATCCGGAGCAAACATTCCGGGTAATGAAGCTCCCCAGTTGAAAAAATACACAAACATGTACTTGATAGGTTGACAATCCTTGGTCGGAAGTTGATTCCTACGAGTCAATCCGTTGCATTGAACCAACACTAACTGTCGGACTGGATACTTTTCAATTTATCTGTTATGCACATAATTTCTGTATATAAAACCAACAGGGCAGGAAGTTTATTTACAGATCGACTTCTATAGATGACATTTCTGTATTTAGAATAATGACATCTGAGTCCATGTATTATATTTTACACACACTAGAGCTTCGAATTACACTTTATAACAATTGATAAGGACAACAGTAATCGTCTTCACCAACTGAAAATCGGTAAAAGGATAAGAAGTCTTCAATTAGCTTATTTTTAAAAAAGTATTTTAGAATTATGGCTTCCCTTTCCATGTATTATATTACTCCCACAAGTTGGTTGTATGGTTGTATTTTTCATTTTTACGAATGTAAAATGTAATCAATTCGAATTTCTTAAATGTTTTGACTTAATGTATTATCTATGAAAAAAAAATAATTTTATTATTTTAAAATTTTTGTTGGTGCATTGGATTTTTATAAAAACTTGGTTGGTTTAAGAAAAAAGTGTATGGCATTAGGGTTTTTAAAAAAAACGAAGTGTGGGGCGAAAATTAAGGCAACTTATTGGGAAATGGTGCTCTTCTTATAACTAGTATAGTTTAATTATTATTTTTATTATTTAAATATAGTTTTGTTTTATACAAAAAAGCTTTACAAGTTATTATTTATTAGTATTTTTTCTTTTCTTTTTTATGACAACAACGTTTAGTTTTTTTTCGAAAAAGGAGGTTTTGAGGTTTAAATTTTGTTTTTTTCTATAAAAATATTTAATTTTTATTATTTTATAAATTTATTGTTTTGATGATTTATATCTGCACAAAAATAGTATTTATATTTATATTCTATTACTTTTTGTACAATTTGAAGTGTTGTTGCTTTAATTACATTTTATTTGAATAACAAAAAATAATTAATTTAAAAATCTGGGAATAATAAAAATTAAGATAGAGCCCAAATTGTGGGAAACGTATATGGTCCAAAGAAACATGGGGTCTAAAACCAATATTTTTGACGTATAAAAGTAAATATAGGGGAGGCTGGGGCACCTTCGGCACTTTTTTTTTAGAGCTCTATATCTCAGTACTTATTCAACATATATAACAACTTTATGGCTGATTATTGTCCTCAGACACTTAATTATAAAAAATAATACCAAAAAGATATAAAAAAATAGTATTAGTTAAAAAATTTTACAGTTTTGTAAAAAAATTCAAATTCGCCGAATGTGCCCCAACCAGGGGTAGCTTCGGCATTTGATGGGGCACATTCGGCAACATAGTCATAGCCGGGTAATTGTCATCGATATCAGTCTGGTTGAAATTCTGATCCTCTAAAGGCTCTATTTGGTTTTAATACGCCACACAATGTTTGAATTATAGGGCTTTATTTTCTAACGGCGTACGTTTACATCTCAAGCTCGCACACAAATCAGAAATAAGGGTTTTCTATCGCATTTTCGTCAATACAAGTACGTTTGATATTATATATGCAATTTCGGACCATATTAAAGGATTAGTTTTAAAGACAAACTCAAAAACATTTTAAGGAAATAATATTGCACAATCTGTATATGGCCGAATGTGCCCCACTTTAAAATGCCGAATGTACCCCGAATGTACTTTTTATAGTTTTTTTCATTTTTTTCGATCAGTTTTTAAAAACATTATATTTTTAAACATTTCTATAATAATACACATCGTAGTTAAACTTTTTAATAATATTGTCTTAAAAATTTAAAAAGTTTTATACGCGAAATACTTAAAGTGGAACTGAAATATATATAGAAACATCTGTAAAAATATAAAAACCCATGTATCTAAATAAGTTTATTAGCTAGAAATTTCAAACTTTGTGTCAGTTATTAATTTCGATATTCGATACCTATGTATCGAAACTAGTGATGTACGGTGAGAGCTTCATATCGAAAACGCGATTGCCGAAGGTGCCCCGATGCCGAAGGTGCCCCAGTCTCCCCTACCCTCATTGGTTGTAAGGCTGGGGGTATGAATGAAAATGACTGACTAAAAATTTGTGTACATAGGCCGAAAGCGTATTGTCGTTTATATAATCAAGTAACAACTCAATATCTAAATCTACTGTCGACTGCAACACAGTAGCAAAACCACAATCACCTTTTAATACTCGCTGCAGATCATCAGTAATTAACAGCCAAATACGTTGAAAAATTTGGCACACCAAAACCCTACATTAAAAAGTGTGGGTTTGAGGATTTTTACTACAACATACCATAGCCCAGTGCAAGACCTACATAAAAAAGTGTCAGCTTGGGGATTTTTTATCTATTAACCAGTAAGAAGGAATTAAAATCGGACGGGGCCGATTATATGATACCCTTCACACACTTTGGGTATACTCAACAGATGCATTCTAACAGACGTCGCATTTTTCATTAGAAGAACGGTTGTGAGAAAATGTTAAATAGACATCGAATAATCGGAAAAATATTCTTTAAAATTCGCCAACTGTGGCTGCGATAGTCGTTTAGAAAATATTATTTAAAAAATCCACGCCATAGATAGTCCTTGAAAAGATCGGAAAAGTCCTTGAAAAGATATGGGAGCTATATCCAAACCTGAATCGATTTCAATAAATCTTGAAACACGTCAGACTACACTAACTTCAGTACATTGGGCAAAATTTTGTGCCATTCTGCCTAACTTTGGAATTTTGGTGCACGATTTACTTAAAATCGGAAGAAAATATATATATCTAAATCTGAACCGATTTCAACAAAACTTCGCATACATCAATCTATACCTAATTCAGTATGCTGTGCAAAATTTTGTACCAATCGACTTAACTATGGATCTTTGGTGCACCATTTATTTAAAATCGAATCGGAAAATATGTAAGGCAGCTATATCTAAATCTGATCCGATTTCAACAAAACTTCGCATACAATCAATATGGCCCTAATTCAGTACGCTGTGCCAAATGTTGTGTTATTCGGCCTAATTTTGGGTCTTTGGTGCACGATTTCCTTAAAATCGGACGAAGACATATATATGAGAGCTATATGTAAATCTGAACCGATTTTTCGAAATTCAATAGGGTTCGTCCTTAGGCCACAAAAATGATATGTGCCAGATTTCATCCGATTCTGATCATAGATGAGACCTTACTTTGTTTAACATGCACAGACGGACGGACATGCATAAATCGATTCGGAAACCGATTCTATGGATATTCTCAAAAGAAACCCTGTGTCGATCTTTTTGCCTTTTGCCTGTTACAAACATATGCACAAAGACATAATACCCTGTACCACAGAGTGTGTTGAAGGGTATAAAAATCACCAACTGTCGAAAGTCAAATCTATTCGGAAATGAACCTCAAATCATTAGAACTACAGAAAATTGTCCAAATTTTAATAGCAAACATTCCTTGCAGAATTTCACTGTTCTATTTTTAATACTTCAAGCTCTAACGTAATTATCAGACGGACGGACAGACAGGCGGGTTAAACCGAATTAAAATTAAAAGTTGACCAACCTTGGAAGGTATTAGAAACTGAACGACAATTTATCATTTTGTTATTTTTTTTAGAATTTGAAGAAAATTTTACAATATAAGAAAATATCAAATCATATTTATAGAATAGGAAAAATATATTCTATAAAAGTTTTGAATAAATAACATAAAATTGTTTCTTTTAGGTTTTGATGTGGGAAAAAAATATACAATTTGTTATGAAAATTTCCAGCATATGGGATATTAACAAAAAAAAAAAAAAAAAAAAACAAATTAATCACAAAAAAATTTCAAATAAAAAATTAAAAAAATGGCAACCCAATTATTTGAATAAAAAAAATTATTTTAAAGATTCTTTATTATTTTTGAGAGGTTATTTCACACACAAAAAAAAATATTTCTAAAAATTAATTGGATTATTTTAAGGTAATTTACAATTTTGATGCTATTATTCTTTAATACAATTTTCAGCATGTTTTTGTTTTTTGCATTTCAAAGATGCCTAAAAATATTTTTTGGCAATTTCAATGTTTTTTTACTAGTTTGGTACTGCTATATATAAAAAATAGACTATTTTTAATGTGGGAAATCGAAAAAAGAAAACAATTAGCAATAATAATTTCTTACAATGTTTGCTGCTGATGTTTCAAATAATTAATAAATTGCATTGAATGCTTAAAGTATTTTTTTTTAATTTCTAATAATATGTATAATTTGCTTTCATTTTTTTTTAATTTATATTTATAGGGCATGCAATTTTTGTGTTTTTTATTTGATTTATATATTAAATATTGCATAATTAGTCTAAAAATCGTTACATTTTGTTTTTCTTTTTTTTATTCTTAAAGTTATTAAAATAAAATGTAATAAAAATATGACAACAAATATAATTATTTATATAAGGTTTATATATATAATAATAATATTAATAGTTGTGTTTGCAATTACAAACGGAAAAAATAAATTGTTAAACAGAAAATGCAAATAAAACTGAAATACCATTTAACCGGTGTTGCTTTGGAGAAATGAAATTTAAAAAGTTAAACAAAAAATAATCATCCAAACGATGTTCCAGTCATTCTTCATCATCCTCCTCATCGTTTGTATCGGCATTAATGTTGTGTCGGTATTTTAAAGCTTTTTAGCGCCCAATTTCATTGGACCACTGTTGCGTTGAGCTCGTCTCGCCTCAAGTTCCCGTTGACGCTGTAATTTCTTTTCTTCACGTTTTCTTCGGGCTTCATCAAGTTTGGGATTGCCTAAAATATGTTTTTTTGTTTTTGCAATTGATTTTGATGTTTGGTAATTTTTATAATGCACAAATTATTTTAAACATTTATGATAATACACATACATACGCACAATATATTACAAAAATGGTGTTAAATAAATACAAAATATACGTGCAAAAATTTGAGAGATTGGATAAATAATACATACGTACATAGTGATGTTAGTGTGATGATATTGGTCTTGATTGAAATGTTTTATTTTGTTACATGTGATTATTATGATTTTTTTAAATATTTAATTTTCTTCAAATTTGTTGCAATTTTAATATGGAAATGAATAATTAGGTATGTATATGAAATTACAATGATGAAGTGTCATGATTAAGGATAATTTATTAACAGATGTATTCCCTCAGCCTATGCCATATATAGGATTTTGCTTGGACCAAATCGAATGCTCCATTCGCTTTACATGATATGTATGTTTTGTTTTTTATCAAAATGTGGACCCTTTGTGGGGAAGGTAGCAGAAGGGTGGTTCAATAAAACACAACCTCGGATTTAATGAAGGTCCTGAAATAATATTACGAAGTGTAATGAATGTATCGGATAATCCATTCGCTTCGTAAGCAAATAACAATTTGTTGGAAGTACCAGAACGTGGGAACATATGGGACAAAGATGCTTATATGATATTAGTCTGATTTAAATATCAGGTTGTGAATGTTGGTATCAATTCGATTATTGTACATTTGCATTTCTTTAGAATTGAGGAGGGCAGTCTAACAGAAGAAGATAGAGAGAAACAAGTAAAAACGTCGTTAAGTTCGGCCAGGCCGAATTTTGCATACCCTTCACCAAGAGCAGGACATTTAAAGTACTTTGCCATTGTTGGTAGGTATATTTGACACACAATGGGAAAGAAAATACCGCCAATTCACGTAATAACGGACCCGTAATCCTCCAAATACCGAATAACAGCAGATACCGTCATTTTGACCACTTGTGGAGGAGGTACAAGAAGGAGGGGACCGATAAATCCCACCTTCCTAAATTATTCAGGCATGGTTAAAATATTAGGTTGTACAAAGTCTAGTTTAAATCTGCTAGTATGTTCACATGATATTATTGAATTAATTTTCACAAAATTTTGTGTTGGTGGAGTGGACCGATGAGTCCCATCTTTCAACTTGAATTAAGTTTGAAAGAAATATTGCAATGTGCATATTTGGCACTAAATAAGATTAAATGGTGAAGGAGGTAACAAAAGAAGTTAATCGATGGGTCCCATCATTGGATTTTATCTAGGCTAGGTAAAAATATCACAATGTGCAAAGTATGGATGAAATTGAATATTCCGTTCGCTCTATATGGGATTAACAAGCTTTCAAAATGTTAACCCTTAATGACCCAAAGTTGCCCACAGGCTACAAAATGTTTTAGAGCTTATATTTAATATGCAGCTAGTAGATATATATTATTTGTATTTCATATGTCAAGACCTGATTATGGTCGACACATATATAAAAAAATCAAAATTTTGGTAAAGTTATGTGCTTTTTAACAAGAGAAGATGGTGAATTTGTGTATGCAATCCAAATTATTTAAATCGCTTCGTATTTAAATTGTACGAGTTCTGACATTAGAATTATTTTTGATTCTTAAAAAAAATTAATATAGAAAATAATATAGAGAATAATTTAAAATAAATTTTCTGCCGATTTTGCATTTGGTTTTCGTGATATTGGACTAAGATGTAGCGATGCCAAATGTTGTCCATATCCTATTTAGGATAGTTGCATTAAATCTGTGAGCAGAAAATTCTTCTATGATTACGGAAAAAATCGGGGCTCACATGGTTAAAAATAGATCAGAATTCCAATTATATATTTTAGTTCAATTTCAAGGCTACCTCCACCAAAACCCAAAAACGCATTAGTAATTCTTATATTCAAAGTAAAAATTTCTAAAACTAAACCAATCCCACACTCTAACAGTAATCTTAATTTAACCAAAGTCCAAATTGTACCAAATTTAGTACTTTTCGTACTCATAAGTACGAATTTAAAAATTTTCCTCAATCCTGCTTTCAAATAGTAATCGTAAGTTGTTCATTAAAAACCAAGCTGTACCAGGGTTTTTAACATTCTGTAATTTTCGTACCCATATTTCAAACCTATCTTAATACTCCAAACCTGCTTTCAAATAGTAATCACTAAAAACCAAATTGTACCAGATTTGGTACCATTCTGTACTTTTCGTTCCCACATTCTAAACTAATATCAATCCTACTCTCCCACGGTAACCTAAGATGCAACTTTCAGGATTCGAATTCTACCCGTTCACCAAATTGTACAAAATGTTGTGCTTTTCATACCCATTAGTACGAATTTTCAAAACTACCTCAGTCATGCACTCCAATAATAACCATAAATCCAAATTTAAGGATTCCAGCTCTATACCAACATCCAAATTGTACCAAATTTAGTACCATTTATTTATTTTTGTAGAAGTAAGTACGAGTTTCTAACACTTCCTTAATTCCAGGCTCCAAAAGTAATTTTAATTTACATAGATCCAAATTGTACCATATTTAGTACCACTTAGTACTTTTCGTACTTATGAGTTTGGATTTCCAACACGGTCTGAATCCTGTACTCTAACAGTAATTTTATTTTCAAATATAAGTTTACCATCTCTATCCTTTCACTCAAATCTAAAGTGCACATAATGACGAATTTCCAAAACTACCAACACATCTCAATCCTGCACTCCAACCGTTCACAAATAATGAAGTTTTACCAAATATAGTACCATTTAGTACACATAGGTACTATGCTTCCATATCTGAATTCTATTTTCAACAGCAACTATTATTCCAAATTATATTTAGTACCGTATATTACTTTTCGTAACAATAACTACGAATTTTCCAAACTACACTCAAACAGTGATTTTAATTCCAAATTTGAAGGCTCTGTTCACCTAAACTTGCACCAAATTTAATAGCAATTATGACTTTTCGTACACATAAATACGATTTTTTAAAGCTACATCAATCCTGTACTCCAATAGGAGTCTTAATTCCGTTTTTCAGGATTCCATCTCTATACACTCAACTAAATGCAAGTAGTACCAAATTTAGTACCATTTTGTACTTTTTACGAATTTCTTAAACCATTTCCATACATCAACTCCACTTCCAGCCTGTATTCCATATAAAATTTCAAGATTATAACTATATATGTTCAATATATATACAAATAGAACTAAATTTAGTAAAGTTTAGTACTTTTCGTACCCTTATAGGTCCAATTAAAAAAAACTCTTTTGTACATCTTTCTAATTTTCCATCTGTGACCCGCATTCCAAATTTCAGAATTCTAGCTCTTCCCGGTCGCCTAATACAAGGGTACCATATTTGCCTACACGCCAAGAACCACCCACACTCAAAATATCAAGCTTCTAGCTTCAGCCGTTTCGTCTGGGCGATGATCTGTCAGTCACTCACTCACTTAACACCAAGCTCTTTTATATATTAAATATAACTTCGAAATATTTTCATATTGTAATAATTCAGCTGAAATTGTTTCAGAATATTCCCACCTTCTCCAATAATAAGCGAATGCAAGTGAGAAATGTTTGATGCAAGCGAAGTAAAAGCATTTAAAAATATATACAAACAAAACATAAACCATGCATAAACGAAAAAAACGCCATAATATTTAAATCATTCCCAAACCATATAAAAATTTATTTCAAAACTCACCTGTCAAAGGTTCGTCAATTGGTTCAAATTCACCATCTGCCCATGAATCACTATTCCAATTGGCATTACTATTCGTTGAATTGTTTAGATGATGCGGTGATTTCTGTTGTGGCGGACTAATATTATTACAATTGAGGAATGGTGTTGGCGATGTTGTCGTATTGCTAGCCGACGATAAATTTGCGGATAAATCTTTTGGTCGTAAACTTGAGGAGAGTGATGTGGAGCCGAGTGTTGATTTCGACGGTGATGTATTGTGTGAATTGAGTTTTGCCAATGGTTCAATTAGTTCATTCAATTGATGTTGTTGTAATTGTTGTTGGTGTGGTCGTATCGGTGATTGTCGTAATTGCATTTGTTGTTGTTCTTGTTCCTGGGCTTCTTCTTCGCCCTAAAATAAAAAATAAATAAGATATATTTTGAGTCATGGATTTAAAAAGAATTCAAGGCGTAGACTTTTTAAAGAATCTTTTTTCAAGCCTCCCATTAAGGCGTGGATTTTTAAAGAATATTTTTTTAAGCCTCTGATGAGGCGTGGATTTTTTAAAGAATATTTTTTTAAGCCTCTGATGGGTCTTGGATTTTTAAAGAATATTTTTTTCAAGCCTTCCATTAAGGCGTGGATTTTTAAAGAATATTTTTTCAAGCCTCCCATTAAGGCGTGGATTTTTAAAGAATTTTTTTCAAGCCTAACATTAAGGCGTGGATTTTTAAAGAATATTTTTCAAGCCTCCCATTATGGCGTGGATTTTTAAAGAATATTTTTTCAAGCCTCCCATTAAGGCGTGGATTTTTAAAGAATATTTTTTCAAGCCTCCCATTAAGGCGTGGATTTTTAAAGAATATGTTTTTAAGCCTCCCATTAAGGCGTGGATTTTTAAAGAATATTTTTTCAAGCCTCCCATTAAGGCGTGGATTTTTAAAGAATATTTTTTCAAGCCTCCCATTAAGGCGTGGATTTTAAAGAATATTTTTTCAAGCCTCCCATTAAGGCGTGGATTTTTAAAGAATATGTTTTTAAGCCTCAGATGAGGCGAGGATTTTTTAAAGAACATTTTTTTTCAAGCATGCTTAGTAGAAGTAATGCTTAGATTTTTTAAGAATATTTTTGAAGCCTCTGTTTTTGTTTCATTTTTGTACTCACCGGATCTTCTTCCAGACTACCCCATTCTTCATTATCCCAACCATCTCGAACATCCGCTAACGCTGTATTTACCGACAGTGGGCCATTATTGGGTGAACCAGCCATTGGTGAACTAGGATCCTGTGATGTCTAAGAGTTTAATATTTAGTTTAAAACAATTAAATTTAAATTCTCATAAATACTTACGTCCATTTCACCCCAATTTTCATTGTCCCAATCATTGTTGCCATAATCGGATGCCGATGCAGATGTATCATTGCTTTCATGTTCCAATGAAGTCATGGACGTTACAGACGAGGTGGTTGTTGATAAACTGCTGCTTGATGGTTGTTCTAAGGAAAAATGCAGATTTTAAAAAGTAGTTGATCAAATTTAAATGTTAAAATATTTACCTAACGATGCAGGTTTTGATAAATTGCGGCCTGTCAATGGTGGTCTAGGTCTTGAGGAATCACTTTGACTACGATAGAACTTGGATGTAACAGCTGTTACAGCCCAGCCAGCCCATGTGGCAGCAGCATTACCAATTGATGGTGTGGCTGTGTGAACATCAGCCTCTGTAAATGCAAAATTGGAATTTATTTCAATATTCAAATAAATAAAAAACAAAAAACCTACCCATTGTCTCTCTCAGGCTTGGATCTTCAGAAACTTTTTCCAATTTACCCAAAAACCCTCGAATTGTTTTAAAGGCTGGATCGCGTACACTTTTTTCAGGATCAATTGTAAGCGAACACAATGCAGGTAAGACACGATTTGCAACTTCACTGTAATGCAATGAATGGCAAATATTAAACATTGAATTTGAACAATTTTTTTTGGAATGAAAACTTACTTTAGCAAGAAGTATTGTTGGGTGGCGGCTAAAGCTAATACACCGGCTACCCTGGCGGGAGGAAAAGGATCACGCATGGCGCGTATAAAAGCTGATACTAAAACTCGCTGTCGCACCTGCAAATTAAATAGGTAGAAAACTCATTTAAAAATAATGGCTTCAAATATTCAAAATCCTTTACCAACCTGCGGATGTAGATGCGGTGCAATTTTACCCAAACAAACGGTGGTATTTGTACGTATTCCACCCTGATCATCGCGGGCCTGCAGACGGGCAAAATGCCTCAATACTTCCACATTTAAATTATTATAATTTAATTTGGGAGCCAAGTGGATGATGGACTGTAAGAAAAAGAGGAAAATGAAATAAAAATTAAGATAATAAAATGTTTTGTCCTTACTTTAACAGTCTGTTCCCTTATGGTGGCATTTGTATCCAGAAATCCATGTGCAACCTGGGGGAAAATTTGATCATTTACCACTTGTGGCTGCAGATGGGCAATAAACAGTTCAAGTTGTTGCAGTAATCTGGAACGGGTTACACGATCCGTTGAGCCAAACAGCTTGACAACACAGGGAACAATTCGCTTTTGATATTCAGCTTCATCCAAAAGTTTACCAAGCTGAAAATAAATACATTTTTAATTTAAATTTAAATTAATTTTAAAAATTAATGAAAATAATATTACCTTAAACATTGGCGCCAACACAGCCGAACCAGCATCACCATATTCATAGGCCGTTATCAGTTGTGGTAAAATCTTGTGCCTATACACAAACAAAAACAATGAAACATTTATCAGTAAATTTGGAAATTTATTTGTTATTTTTTTACGCCACTCACTTGCACACATTATCAGGAAAATTGTCCAAATGTAATGTTAAACCCGAAAAGAAACGATTCTTTTCCGCCTTATCTTTGATTTGGATTTCTTCGAGGAACAATAGTGTATCGACTAAATCATTTTTGAAAAATCCACCAGGTTTACGACAACGCGTTATAATATCAGCCGGATTCGGACGATTTGAGGGTGATGCACCAACCAATTCACAATATAGCGATTGTAATGATTTCGGTATACAATCAATATCTTTGAGATTGGAACGTGAACGCAGCGGCCCATTGAATGATTCCCAGACGAGACAGCCTAAACCCCACATATCAGCGGAACTGTAAAATAGAGAAAAAATATGTTAATATATTTTAAAAATAAATTAAAAAGAGCTAAAAAAAATTTAGGGCGTATTACAAAATGGTGACCTATTACGGGAGTGATTTCGTTATAAAAAAGTAGCTACAATTTTAAGATTCCATTATTAAGTAGCTTTAAAAAACATTTGAAAACTTCAGCCGGCCGAAATTTTATATTTACCTATATGGAAATTTATTTTTTCGAAGCGTAATTTTATACTTAACCCCGAAATTCATACTTATTACTACATCGTTGGATAATAAGACTAGGACCATATGAAAACCTAAAATTAGACAGGGCAACTTGATCTAGAGGCTCTCTTTCAAACATTGGACCTCTGTCTCTAGGTAGATGCAGATTTTTCCGGACATGACTGGTTGGCAGAGTTTTAATCACCTTATGATGTTTAGAATTATTATCACCGCAACGAAAACATATTGCTATGTTGACGTAAGGGAAGAATCGTCGTCTCCTCACGAAGATGGTCTCGTAGTGTCATGACGAGGCAGGTCTGAATACTTCATCATGCGTAGTACTAATATTTGTGAATCACACGGGTACGGCATATCTGACCACAGACCTATCGCTTTGTAGGAGTCCAACAAGGTTTCCCTATATGCGCCTCAAGTGCTGCTGCAAGTCTACTTTTTAACTTATCGCAGATAGCTGTGGTCTGACGAATGTGACCCCGAGAATTTTGGGGATGTTGGTGTTCCGAATTGTATGCCCCTCGACCTGCACATTTAATAGCATTCTCATCTCCGGAGTCCAACAAGGTTTCCCTATATGCGCCTCAAGTGCTGCTGCAAGTCTACTTTTTAACTTATCGCAGATAGCTGTGGTCTGACGAATGTGACCCCGAGAATTTTGGGGATGTTGGTGTTCCGAATTGTATGCCCCTCGACCTGCACATTTAATAGCATTCTCATCTCCGCAGTTCATGTGGTGAACACTGTGGCCCAAAAATATTTGTGGCGGATATTTTGATATTCTTCGCGTGGGATAAGGATGCTAAACCTTACACATATGTCCTCAACAATAGGACCCGACGCAATAATCGTACAATCACCTGCATACGTAACAATCCAAATGCCCTCTGGAGGGCGTGGAATATCGAAAAACAAGAGGTTAAAAAGTTCCGGAAATATCACTACACCCTGAGAAAATCTCTGCTTCACTTTACTTCGCCTTGGATATTCTGTCAGGTTCTAACGCTGTAGATGACTTAGAGATAAGGATAGCACATTCAACCATACCCATTGTGAACTGTGGTGGTATCTCCTAGGCGGGAAGAGATCTACTATGGTCTGAGTAAGCAATTCAAGAACAAGGCCACCTCTCGCCAGACCAAACACACACTCTACACGACGCTGATACTACCCGTGCTGTTGTATGGATTTGAATCATGGGAACTTGCGAAAGTAGATGAGGCAGTTCTTGGAGTGTTTGAAAGAAAAATCAACCGGAAGATCAATGGGCCAATCGGCGTCGACGGTGAGTATAGTCGCCGAATGAACCATGAGCTATACCATCTATTCTCGGCCTTTGCCTTGGTTGCTGATTCCAATAAATTCATTTATTCCCCAGGTAGGAACCTTAAATGTTTCAGTGTATTCTTCACATAGGGAAAAAAACTTAAACCTTCCTACCGTAGAACGCTATGGTAAGAAAATATGGTATATTTTTTAATGAGATTAGATTCTGTCGGCCACTGGTGTTGGAAGCGTAGGCCGACGGAATCTCGTCGTCACTAACTTTTCCTTCTAAAAAGAAAAATTTTCGATGCACATCCTTTAGGAAGCTCCCTGATCAGTGGGACATTTCTAGCCATTCACTTTAAATAATGTAACCAATTCTTACCATTTTGTTGCAGCTTTTAATTTGGTTTGATCATTCTTTTCCGGTGGATCATAGACCTCCAGTGAGGGAGGTACTTTAATAGGTGGCATTGGATTTCCATCGGCAGGTGAGACATATTCCAAACTACCCAATTTCCATTCACCCGAGGAATTAACAAACACCGACCACACGGACACGTTGTTGTGCCTCAAGCTGCCATCGTTGTTGAGAAAGGATAAAGCGCGCTAAACAGAAAAATAATCAAAACATAAATAACAAAAAAATACCATTAAAACATGTTCTTGCAACTTACCGTAATTTGAAATATACCCCATGCCAAATATAAATCCTTCTGCGGCCCATCTGCTGATAATTTAGCTATATGCAAACCCAATGGTTCAACATATTCTGTTGCTATATACAATAGTTTATCTGTCTCCAGCGAATCCAAAAATTGCAATATACTTGGATGTCGCAGAGTTTTGAGTCGTTTCAATGCCGCCTTGGCCAGTTCACATTTCGCATCGGAACCACTACGTAAATCAAACACAAATACCGATACTTCCTCTTGGGTGCCCTTTCGTTTGGCTTTGTGCAAAGTCCATATGGAGTGATTTTCAAAACCTGCCACTGGTTCACCGATATCATAGGGGAAGTCTTTGGAGGAGTCGCGCGAGAAGAACGACCACATCATGTGCTTTGCTCGTCGGCCAAATATTTTGTTGACAAAATTAGCTGAGGCAAATTTTCTTCAAATGTATCAACTCGCCTTCGAAGAAGATGTGGGGGAGGGGAGAGGATACCAACCACAAAATTACTGACTGCCTCGATGTGCAAGCAATCTTCTCCTATTGCAGCAGCAGCAATATGAATGAATATTGATTACTCTAGGTATGCTTGAACTCTTTTTGTTTAACAGCTGGCTGCTTTTGGATTTATGTACCAATCACGAACAACCACAACAACAATAGCAAATAATTAATTAAAAATGGAGGATTCACTACACTTCTTCTGATTTGTATAATGTTCAAAATTTTTGGAATTCGTATGATAAAATTTATTTTTTCTGTTGCTTTTTGCTTTTTTGTTATTCTATGCACTATGACACTACTACACTTTCGCGTTTTGTTCGTTCACTGCCCGTCACTCACTCACACACTTCATTCGACGACACACAAAGTTCTTGAAACACAAAATTTGCACCCTTTTCAATTGCCTTCCGATCGTTGAATTTTCATTTTCCTTCGACTTTAGTATGCACCGTTTGTTTTTGTATAGTTTTCGTGCAAATATCAAACATATTTTCCATAGAATTTTCACTTTTTTCTTTACAAACTTTTCATGACGTATGCACGTATGCGAATATTTTTTTTCTCTCTGTGCTTGTCATCTGTCATCTGGTGGCTGTTTAAGTTCTGTCTTTGTAAACAAACTTGTGCAAAATTTACGTTACGGCGGGGAGTAAATGGAGAAAGAACGGTTTCGTAGCACGCAGCTTTGATATGGTTGATGTCTTTATTAATAATTGAGGGGAAGGAATGCCATGAAACAAAATATAAAATGTTAATGTTGACAAATGCAAGGGACAAATGTAAATAAAAAATAAATACAAAATAAAAAAAACAAAATTTTTCAAATAAAAATTTATTTACCACATTAGGTGTATTCTCTGACTTTTAAACAAAGTATGTGTCACAAATATCGCCTGTTCCCGTACTGCAAGAATTTACTAATTTTTACTATGTTTCCCGATATTATAAAGGAAAAATTGTTATCGTATTAAAAAATTGTACATTCTTGCAGGTTCTGGAACAGACCAATACATTCAAATGCGTAATATTTCTGCAAACAAAAGTTTGCGGAAAATAAATCAAATTTGTTACATATTTAGTATATATGAGAAAATGCCCCGACCACAGGTAGACCTCTTCTTCATCACACAAATAGTAGTTTGGGGAAAAAGAAATCCATTATTTTTCGACAGATGGATTGATAGATTTCTCGTAAATTATCGATCAAACAATTTCAGATTTGTGGAAGGGTAACATTTCGCAGTAAAAAAAAATATTTTGCTGTTTTTTGTTTGGTGCATTCATTTGTGAGTTACAGGGTGTTAAAAATGGAAGTGAACAAAGAGAGAATTCGGTACATTTTACATGTTTTCTTTGACAAAGGCGAAAATGCAAAACAAGCGGCTAAAATTGAGAATGGTGTTTATGGTTCTGATATTGTAACAGCCTATTATGTGCAACTTTGTTTCGTAGATTCCGTTCAGGAATTTTTTATGGGGTAGACTGGTCGTCGAAAATGTCGACAAAATCGGAGAAATGATCAAAGTTATCGTAACATCGCAAAGAGCTAAAAATCGAGAAAGTCCGAAGATAGATCCAAAGACATATACTTAGACAGAACATTCAAGGAGAACATTCAAATAACCTTTGGCGCCATCAACCAGTGCGAAGGTTTCTAGCTTATTCAAAATAACCCTTTAAAGTGAGTGTGCCGTCTTTAAACGCTTCAACAAGCGAAGATCTTGCCAATCCCATCTGATATGTGATTGGCCAAGCTAGCAATGGTTGTAAACTCAAAATATGTGGGGATACCTGTCGAATAAGTCTGCATCTGTTAACCCATTTTTGCAAAAACTTAAGGCAAGAATTCCCGACAAAACTCGTGTGCCCTTAAAAGAAACTTCCGCTCCGGGAATTTGTACGAATGCTGCTGGAAATCATAGAGTTAAATTAACAGTTATTGGTTGGATGACGTTGAAGAATGGTTCCACAGAACATTTGTTCCAGAAGTGTGTACATTTCTGGCCGATAAGGCTTTTTTACTTATTGATAACGTCCCATGCCATCCCGAAGAAGGCGAGTTACAGAGTAATGATAGTGGTATAGTGGTAATGTGCTTGCCTGCAAATGGTACAGCTCTTATACAGTCCACGGCTCACGAAAATGAACTACAAAAAAGGCTTTTAAGTCATATTGTTCATTGTGGGAAAACAATTGACAATACTCGGCGTAATATCAACATGAAAGACGCAACATGCTTTCTAGCGAATGCTTGGAATGCTTTAAGCACATCTTCAATTCGGTCATAACTTCAAAAATTGTTTGATAAAACATCCGACTGGGATGGAGAAGATTAAATCACTCTTTCAGATTTGCGTATTCACCTAGCTAAGGACTCATTGCCTATTCAATCCATTGTAACTTTGCTTGAGGAAGTAGAAACGTTGCAGCAAATTTCCTATTCCGAAATTGAGGAATGGATCGTTGAACCTAATCAGGGGCCAACAGCACAAAATGAAGAGCACACCGATGATGACATACGATGCTGATGAATAAACCGACGACGTGGTACACAGTACAACGAACGCTCCACCGGAGAAGACATCCTTGGAGGATATTATGACGCTGCAGAGACTCAGAAGCAGTGTGGTGCTGAAAAAGTCATTACCCGGAATGATGGCTACCATGTATCATGGAACGGTGTCTGGTTGATACTTTACAATGGTGGTGTTTGAAGTGTTATCGGTAGCGCTAAGTCATCTAAAGCCTGACGGAATATCCATGGTTATGCTGAAACAGGCTGCAGGCCGAAGTATTCACTCTTGTCATCAGAAGCCTGTACAGGGTAATTCTGCTGCTTAAGCCAGTCAAAAATGCCATCAAAGGTGTATCATACAGGCCGAGTTCACTCTTGTCATCAGAAGCAAACACAACTCAACAAAAGCGTTGAAGTCCATTTCCACACATATAAGTCGACAACTTAACCAGTACCGACCGTGATATAGAACAATGTTGGTAGCGCTTGATCTATCTAAAGCCTTTGATACCGTCAATTATGTCACATTATTTGAGAACATCGTGAACAATTTCTTCCGCCCAAATTTGAAACGTTGTATAATCAATTATATTATTTATCTTCATTAGGTGATGAAGTTCCTACCCTTAAAAGTCGTTTACATTGTACCGGATTTGGTTAACCAAGTGGGTTTAATTTTTCAATTCCTTTGAATAATCATACTAAACAACTTAGGTTGGATAAAAGTCCCCACCCGGGAGTGTCAGGAAGTATCTGCATGACCAAGAAAGAGAGAGAGGTCCAACGATATAAAAGGGATCCTTTAGATCAAGTTGCATATAGAGCAAGTCTAAATAGCATTCATACTGATACAGTTGCCGCAAAGCTGCATGATAACAGAGTAAATGCCGTCTTCGGAGTTCAGGAAGTATCTGCATGACCAAGAAAGAGAGAGAGGTCCAACGATATAAAAGGGATCCTTTAGATCAAGTTCCATATAGAGCAGGTCTAAATATCATTCATACTGATACAGTTGCCGCAAAGCTGCATTATAACTGAGTAAATGCCGTCTTCGGAGTTCACCCCCATCCATCGCAAATTAGTTTTTAGCCCAATTATGTTAGGCCATCACACCACACTGCGCTTATTCAACTGTTCTGCCAAACCTACGCAACTTACTCCAGAAGATCTGTAGCTACGGTCTGCGGAAGTAGCTGCATGTCTTATCTATACAACAGACCATGTATCGATCTAGAGCTCCCTATGCGTGCTATCAATGAATAGCTTGTGATTTTTTCTAAATCAAAAGAAGAAGCAATATTTTTATTTCTTTCATTCCATCACTATTCTAAACATAGCTTTTCATACATTTGTTTTCATTCCAATATTTATTGGACACTTCGGTTTTGGAAAAACGTTGTTGAATTTGGTCTGTTGACCAAAATAATACATTACGGGCAGGAATTTTAAATTGAAACTATGAAATGGATCCGACACTGCAACGAGGATCATTTCAACGCATTGTTTTGGATGAAATAGCTCTGGAGGGCTTGGAAGGAGTAACACTAGAATGTAAAGAAAACATTTGACTCATTTAGATATATTGGAATAATTTGTGTCGTGTTTGTTTCCAGCACTATGGGTTTATTTGGGTAAATCGATGAATCTACCCCTGCCGTTGCCTGGAAAGCTAACTGAACAGATATGGTCATTTATTTTACGTGTCCATAATCATTTACAATTCTATGAATTGCCTGTTGAGAGAGAAACAGTTAAACTATTCGATAGATATCAGCTGGTGGATTCCGATTTGGGAGTTCCAATAACACCGGTAGGGCTTTCGTTTATTTTGATGGTTTCCGGTTTTATATGTAATCATATTCTTTGTAGGATATTTGTCCAGCCATTCGTTACAAATGTGTACCCATTAGTGATGGAGAAATTCTCGGATCCTGTGAATTTTATAAGGAAAGAAAATTAATTGCCTATAGTGAGCTAAAAGATCTCAAATGGGAAGATGTACAAGCGAGGTCAGTATTAAAATATCGTACTTATATCAATCTAATATTTTTATAAAATATTTTTTTTTTCATTCAAGATGGGGTAAGAAATTCATAATTGTGGCATCTCAAGAGCTGCGCTATAAAGCAATTACACCGGAAAATGTTCCACGACCCAAGGAACTAACCTCTATACAATACTGCATATGGGAGGCAATTGGACGTGCACGTTTTAATGGTGAGACGACATCGGGAACATGGTCCTTGACACATTTCTGCAAAGACTCAACCATTGTGTTTTATATAAAGTAAGATAATTTGATTTTCGATTTAATTTTGATTAAATTATTTTAATAATTGTTTTTTATTTTCAGAAACAAATTGATACGCCATGGCGTGGTTGTCAATCAGCTATTTAATGAAAAACGTGGTGACCGGCTGAGTGTAACGACATTGCTGACCCTGCCTCGTTTTTACAATACAAATCGTAGCCGTCTTATAAATATGGTCGAGAAGTTGTTCCTGATTCTAAAAGAGAAAGAAGATTACACCATGCCTCTGGTAGATGTGCGTACAATATTTCCATCTTTTGAACGGCAAAAGTCTTTGAAGAAGGCAATGCTAACACATCTATTTCGACAGATCTTTGAGACAAGGGTAAGACCATAATTTACTTTAAATAATTCGATGGAAAATATCGTAGATTAAAAAAGCTTTGACGGGGACATTTCATTTTATAGGAATGTATTGATTGTCTTAGGATTTATTGATAGTCTTTCAGTTTTGAGGCCTATCAGGCTTCCAAAAGTAGATTTATTGAGGATATTTTTTAGGCCAAAAAAGTATATTTAGAGGACATTTTTCCAACAATCGTTAGGCCTACTAACTCGGATTTATGAAACATATTTTAAGAAGACCTAAAAGCGTGGGTATTTAAAACAATTGTGAAAAACAAAAACGTAAATATTTAAAGAACTTTTCAAGGACTCTGTCTGTGTCATACAAATGTGGATTTAAGAAGGAAATTTTCTTCAAATTATTATCAGTTATCCTCGCAAGAATTTTTACCGGCTATTCAGAAAATATTTTTGGTCCCACCGTCGGAAAATTCATCCTCCATGAATAAACATTCGACAAAGACATGAGGTTGATTGACTTAGCGGCAGAAAAAACATGGTAGTTAGCAGCACCAGATTCAAGCATTTCGATATACACAAGGCCACTAGATTGCTCCCGATCAAACAACGAGAAATCAAATCGATCGTGTTGTAATAGACGGAAGGCATTCATTCAGTGTTTTAGACTTTCAATCGATACGATGAGCGAATATCGATTCGGACCATTACCTTGTGACATCCAAGGTTCGCACCCGTAGTAGCAAAGGTGCGCTTTAACACAAAGGTTCGATCTAAGGGAAACTCGACTTCGAAAAGCTGCATACGCAACAGATAGAAGAAGCCTACTCTGCTCAACTTACCCACCTGCTCGACGAAAGCACTCCTTGTGCTGATAATATAGAAGCACAATGGCAAAGAATTGCCCAATGGTCAATGACATTATTAGACCATACCAATGCGGCTTCAGGCCTGGCATATCCACCATTGACTAGATTTTCACTGTGCGCCAGATCCTGGAATAAACCCACGACAAAAAAAAAAAAAACACCGACGCATTCCATCTATTCATCGACAAGTGGGAAAAACTGTGCAAAAGACCGACGCGCCTTGAAATCTTTTTTAAGCTCAGCTTAAAGAAAGAAAGTTCTGTCACAAGCCAGCTAAGTAAGTAAGTCTAAAGGCGTGGATTTTTTAAATTAAATTTTTTTTGAACTATCTAAAGGCGTGACTTTTTATAGAGACTTTCTAAAGAGATATAATTGGAAATTATCAATTTCAGGGACTATCAAGTCTAAACTATTTTTTTTTTCTTGGACTATTAATTCGGTAATAAATTATTTATTAACCCATTTTTCTCTTTTTATTTCATTTCCAAAGTCTGTTCCATATATCGATATTCATCCCAATGCTAAATCCAAAGGTGGACCAACAGGAAGAACCGTCACTATGGTACGTTTACGTTATCCCGAAAAATCCATTGATGACTTATTTGAAAATATGGAAAATGATGATAAAAATAATGAAAATGGTAAGAACTAAATTGTTTTAAAAAAAATGTATACCTTGATCCGAAACGACCATCACTTCAGTCCATTGTATAAGGCTGCTACCAAACGTACCAAGGCATAGGAAGGGACAGAAATACAATACTGGACAATAAAATATAAATAGTTAGACCTTAAATAAAGCTCCTTTAGAACTGATATACGTCTTCTATAGATTTCCTTATTCATCTTAAAACATCTTATCCTTGTAGATGAAGATTTTCACAATGAAAAACATTCTTACGTTGATATGCCTTTGCGTGAAGAATTTTATCAATGTGTGGCAAGATATGGAGCTCGTGGCTGCAGTCAAACTGAAATCTATCGGCATATGGCTATACATCATTTGACCTTAAGGCAAATGGTCAAACAAATGGTTTCCGATGGCCTTGTAAAGTCATATTGTCTCGATGTGGGTCGTCAGAGGGTTAATATGTAAGTTCCGAAAAATATTCCAATAGTTTTAAATTCTAATTCAATTATTTTAAACTCTCACCTCCCCCAGGTTTGTGGCCGTTGAACATTCCGATTCGGTAACGAAAAAAGTCAAAGACTCTATGGATGTGCTGCAAAATTTACAGTGTGACGAGGAACCCAATATCCCACATGATGACGTACAATTCACCGATATACCACAAATAGCGGCCCGAATAAAACCCTATGAATATAAGACGACAACAAATACAGCACGTGAAAATCATAGTCAACGTTTGGTATCACGCAAGGCATTCGCCGTTAAAATGGTAAATGAGAAGTGTATACTACCCGTTCTCGAGCTACGAAAACTTCTGCAGATGCACGAAAAAGAAATGGGCCTTAAAGATGAAATATGCCAAAAATCTATACGCCGAATGTTACACAATATGAGTGAATCGAATATTGTTCGGGTATATGAAATAGTATTGCAATGTGAAGAGCATATACGTATACATCGTTATGTTACTCATCCGAAAATCGATATAGATCATCAAGTTATCCGCCATGAAATATTGAAACTGAAAAATAGTTTCTATTTAATTCTCGAGGAGAGACGTTTGCGTACATTGGCAGCATTACGGCTGCAAAATAAAAAGGTCAAATCAAATCCCAAGAAATGCAAAACTAGTGAGACGAAATTAACGAAAAATGTTTTTGTACCCCTCAAAGTTCACAAACCACCGAAATTTCTCATCTCACGATATTTACATGAATTTCTATTTTACATAGTTGTTGAGCTCAACGAACAGCAGAAACCATTTGAAATTAATAAAGAACTAATGGAACATTGGCAAATAACGGAACCATCGTTACGCATACCCGAATATATGGAACAATTGAAAACCGAGGGTATCAACGTGAAACCATTTACCAAGGATATAAGCTGGCGTACATTTATACAACCACTACCACGCTACTCTGATAAACCTGCTGGTTGGGTTTATTTTGTTGATGCTGTTGATCGTATGCCCTTATCAATATTTAATAAAATTTTCCACATTGACAAAGGGGCCGATGATCGTTTAACGGCTTTCCTAAATCACCCGGTTAAGCAGCATTATCTTATGCGTCAACTACCATCCGATTTACAATATAAAATTGCTCGTGTCCAATTGCAGAGGGTGTATGTTTCGGTACTTAAGCTATTGAATCATATGGGATTGATACAGGTATGTGAATAAGAAATTTAATATGGATCTATTTATCATTTTATTCTTATTGTCAATTCGATTCAAAATCTTTATCGATTATTAATCTTTATAGAGCGTGAAACTCTTTTTACAAACAAGGCAGCTCGATACGACTGTCTATGCCGAAATCCAGGTAAAATTCCATTTGATATTTCGACATAGATCTCTACGGAGAAAGATCACTCCAAGAGCTGCCTCATCTGTTTGCGTAAGTACCCATGCTTCAGATCCATATAACAGCACGGGTAGTATCAGCGTCTTGTAAGGTGTGTGTATGGTCTGGTGGTAGATGGCCTTGTTTCTAAACTGCTTACTTAGACCATAGTAGCATCTGTTGCCAACACTATCATTCTACGAATTTGAAAACTGATGTCATTAGTTTTATTTATGGCGCTACCAAGGTCTATAACATCTTTTAATAACTTCGAGGCTGTTATTTCTCAAGTTTAGCAGGGGTCCCAAGTCTACTGGATTGCTATTCTGACCTTATCTTGGCTAGGTGGTATGCAATCTATACCGTCATTTTTTTTTTTGGTTTGGTTCTGGGGTATTTTCACCGCCACTATTTGATACCAAAATGTTCCTTCCAGATTCTCAATACGCTGTCTGTATCAGTCTCCAGATTTCCATCTTCATCTCTACAAGATCACGTGCCTACACCAAAGCCTTCGGTTTGGTGTTTTATTCGTTGGTAAATATTTCGGACTTCATTCTGACTCGTGTACATCTCGATTTGTTCACGCTCACATTTTTCTTGTTCTTTCTTCTTTTTCTGAAAATACGCTTGTCCTCTCTTTCCTTTTCTCCCAATAATTCTCCATCGCATTGCGTGTTGCTACTCTCTGAAGTTTTGCCCTACTCCACTCACGACACTCCGGAATGTTCCATGGATTTCTTAATTGTGATTTTTGGTACCCAAGTGTTGCTTTAGCTGCAATTTGTAAGGAGTGGGCACTTCCTTGCCATTGTACTTCTATATTATTATCGGGACAAGGAGTGCTTTGGACAAGCAGGTGGGAGGAGTATGCTTCTGCTATCTGTTGTGTTTGCAGCTTTTCGACATCGAGTTTTGGTGTTGTGTTAGATCGCATCTCTGTTGCTACATTCAGACAAGTGCGATCCTTGGCTGCTACAAGGTAGTGGCCCGAATCGATATTCGCTCCTCGGATCGATCGAACGTTTAAAACGCTGGATGAATGTCTACCGTCTATCTCAACATAATCGATTTGATTTCTCGTTGTTTGATCGGTAGAAATCCAAATGGCCTTGTGTATTCGACTGTTTTTGCTGCGGCGAAGTCAATCAACCTCATGCCGTTCTCGCATGTTTCTCCATGGAGGGTGTTCTGACGGTGGGGCCAAAGATATTTTCCTCTCCGATTTTGCCTTAAAATCTTCTAGTAGAATTTTAATGTCATGAGCAGGGCAGTATTTGGTCTGCTCTTCTTTGTCTTCCGTCGGAGCATGGGCACAAATAAGACTGGTGTAGAAAAACTTCGCTTGTATACGGATTATGACAATTCGTTGATCGACTGGAGTGAATCTGGAGACGATGTCTTTGTTAACCATAAATCCGTGTTTTTGCGCTAGACTAAGAACTTTCCGAACTGCCCTCGTATAATACAGTTCGTAATCATCTGATTTACATACGTCAGTCCATTTCATCGGTTTTCCTGTAAGGCAATAATATCAGCTTTGTATTTCTTGAGTACATCCGCCAAAGCGAAAACGCCGCCTGTTATGTACAATGTGCGTGCAGAAATAATTTCCTTCAAAAATTATATTTATACGATATCCCCGATGTTTTTACTCCCTAAATAGGAGATTTTACAATGTTCCCTTTTCCGGAACTTAACACATTTTCTTATTTCTTCAAATTTTTCTTATCCTCCTAGGTTGGTGAACGACTCAATGCCAAAGATCCCTTGGTTATGTGGATATTTCTGAATAGAAAAGCTCGTGTATTGGATACGACAAATACAGAGCCGTCATACAATCGCATCAATGCCGATCGAGAATATACACCCATAACATTTGATCTGCGTAGCTTCGATGATATCCACCATTATTGGACAACATTGCAGCGAATTTGTGTCTATACCAAACTTGGTTTTCGCAGTAGAAATCCCGGCAAATCGGAACGCATTAAAGAACTTAGCTTTCTAAATCCCGTTGATTATGATGAGGCACCGCAGCATGATGTTGGCTATCAGCCTGGTGATGGATTGGGTGCTGCCGGTTTATCTACACAATTATTTGCCCACACCTTCCGCAATTGGTCATGGTCGGTGCAGAGTAATAAGAAAATAAATGTTCGCAATTTGCGTACAGGACGTACCGCTGGAACGGGTATTGTCCGAAGTTCGACGAAAATTTTGCGCGTTAAGAGTAATAAAGTGAGGCAACAAATTGCCACAATAAAGCGAGCGAAGGCACAAAGTTCGACCTCCAGCTCGACAGGAAAGAATGAGAAAAATTTAAAGAAAACTGCACCAAGAGATGCCATAGATCGGGATGCATTGAAAAATATGCGTACTCTAAGGGTATCGTGGAGCAAGGCAGAGGATGAGGTACTGATGATAGCTAAAACAGCTGCGGTGTATGTTTCAGCTCCCATTCCCTCATTGGGTTTACTGGCAATGGGAAAAGTTTGTCGTGATATAATACGTCACAGTTTAGGTATCTACAATAAGACCACACAGGCTTGCTGTAGGAGAATGCAGGTGAGTTTTGAAATAGATTTAACATTCAATTTATATATATGAAATATTCCTATTCCTTCCAGTTTATCATAAGACAAAAGCGCCACATTCCCCAAGTCCCCTCATGGTTACACATTCTGCAAACCGACGAAGTTATACAAAAGAAATATGGCGAAATGTTTTTACAAAAATTGAAGAAAACCTATCCAGTGCGTAGTGAATTTATTGACGCGTTGCTGATACACTTCACTCTGATTATGTGTTATCTATATAAACTGGTTAATAACACGAATGACCCAGCAGGCAAGTCACGATTTTTCCTACCCGATACCATACAAGAATTCCACAAACGTTATCTTGAGCGAATGCCAGCTCAGACAGATGAAGATGTCATACTCTATAGAAATCCCGATGATATCGACGATCTGCAAGTTATGATTGTTATGAATGTATTGCATTCTTCGTTGTGTGCCTATCGCGATAAAACCCTATATAATCTGCAAGCTTTTGAAATCTATAAGAACTTTTCGGAAGAAATATTGAAAACCGCATTTTGTAAGGCACGCACGGAGTCTTTGGCTGTGGCCATAAAACGTCAAAATATTAGTATGTTCTCGAACCCCATTGGTGGTCCGGCATATGTTCTATCCTCAAAATATCGTTTGAAATTGTTATTTTTGCGTATACCCTATGGGGTTTATGATGCCACCTATGAATATTATGAAAAGGCTTTGGAATGTTTCTTCAGGACGTCACCGGTTAGTAGCGGAAGTTCAAAGGATCATTTGGAATTGAAATCGCCGACGTTGGGTCAATTCTTTGTAATCGGAGAAGGTTTATCACGACAATTATGGTCTATTGAAATTAAATTGCCTGTGAATATATTAACCGTCGATGCCGAACAAAATCAAACGGTAAATCCAGCAGATCGTATTTTAGATCACTATCAGAGCATATTTGATAATGCGCCACAGCAGGAATACACCAAGGCCATGGAAACGGAAATTCCAGGAAAGCAAGTAAGTGGAAATTTGATGAGATATTTAATATTTTTTAAAAATATTTTTTTTTTGAAGGCCTACCATAGCCGTGGATTTTTTTTAAATATTTTTTAAATTTCTGGATTTTTTAAAAATATTTTTTTGAAGATCTACCATTTTTTTATTTTTTAACATTTTTTCAATAATTTTTTTGCTCACCTCACCTTCTCTGTATTTAGATACTAATTACACTATTTCTTACGTTTCAGATCCGCGTTAAATTCCATCCGGCCAATTTAAGTTATAAAATCAACTATACACCCTTCGATTTGATTTCAAAACTTCCCTCGAGATATTTACATTTCTTTTGTGCCTTAGACTATATGGATCAAGAGATTGAAATTAATTTCAGTAAATTACAACGCGAAGATGAGGATGGTCAAATAGTCACAGAGTGCCCTTTTAAATGCATCTTTAAATCAGCAGATTATCTTGCCGAAATTAATCGTATTGTACGTGAAAAGAAATCAGTATTGAATTCCCTCACCGAAATGGCACCACAAAAATTATTAAATTTAGCCACAAGTGGCCTTTCGATGAAAGTGTATACATCGAATTTATTAACCTTAATACGAATGCTCGAATCATTTTGGTATGAAAAGGAGTTGCAGTATGAACGTAAAGATTTGGGCAAACAAGTTAGTGTTTTGAAATCGACCAATACAATCGATTGGAGTGAGCTGTGTAATGAAATTTTACAATTTAACGTGAATTTGGACGATGATTACGATAAGACAGATGAATATGAACCGACGCTGAATAAGGATGAACGGGTGATTCGAGCTCAAGATGTATTTGTGGTCAATTTACCGACAATACAAATAAAGGCCAACAAGGCAATAACCGAAAGCTTGGATACAATTGTTTATAATGGTGACTTGATGGTGCCAAAGAAAATGATTTTCACCGAACAACAGAGGGAGGCGATATTGAAGAAAATTTTAGAGTAAGTATAGGTTGGATTTTTGGAAATTATTTTCTATTCATATATATTTTTGTTTTACAGCGAGGCCTATTTTAAATACAATGACAAGACTCTTGAAAGCCTTAAAGCTAGAATGATTGAATGCAATTTTTCGGAAATGGAACAAAAACATTTGGAAGAAATTCATAACTATATTGAAAAACACAAGCTGGGTGTATCCATACTGGATTTACAGGTAAAATGTGTGACATACACCTTCTATAAATGCACAGAAATTTAATTTTAACTCGAAATTTCAATAAAAATCCTATTTTTTTTAAGTTATAAAGATCGGTACTACACAAGTCATGACTTTAGTGCATATATTCAATTTTGTCATTGAATATAAATTTTATTAAAATACATATGTTTTCATTTTTTTCCCCAAATTACAGAAAGAATTCCCTTACGAACAATTTCTGCTAAAGGCTCTCAATTTCTTAACCTCCGAGTTTTTGATAAAACGTGTGGGTGTTGCAAATTTTATGTATGTTCACAAAAACTATGTACGATCATGGGTGGTACATACATTCAATTTGAAGCGCTTGGATAGAGAAAATTTGGGTACTTCAACGGCGGCTCTTAAGAGAACATATGAACAAATGAATGCGGGAGACCAGGAAGATGGTGATACAATACAAGAATCTGCTAAAAGAAAAGCTATAGATAATAACACAGATGAAGACACTAATGGAAGTAATGAAATCCAAAATGAAGAAACGAAGACCAGTAAACGAATTTCCAAGCCCGTCAATCGTTATAATCCAACAAAAGTCGAATCAAATATGAGTATAAATAACACTAAAGAAAGGTAAGTGGAAATAAGTCTTATTAAAAGGATTTTTGTTTGATTTCGAAACGGTTTAGGATTTTTTTGATACAAATACGACAATTATTTTTAAAAAAGTAGAATTTTTTCCGTTGCATATATAATTTACCGTTCTCAGGTTTGAAAAAATTAGACATCAAATATCTTGGCAATCCAATATGTTCCATAAGCCAAGCTTAACAAAGATTTCCCGGCGCCTTGGTCCTTTGCGCAGCTCTTCCAATTTGAAAAACCACGTTTCGAAATGTTCTCTTCCACTTGATCTTTCCATCTAATTCGTGCCCTTCCCTTCTGCGTGAACCATTCCGTTTTTATATGCCTTTTGTGCTGGGGTATCCTCATCCATTCTCACAACATGACCCATATATCGCTTCAGATCGATACGTCTGACTATGTGGATGTCCGAGAATAGATGGTACAAATCATAGTTCATTCGACGGCGATATTCACCGTCGACGCAGATAAAAATTGATGCCATTGGTTTTATTTATGGCGGTACCAAGGTATATATAATCTATGACTACCTCGAAACTGTAGTTCTCAAGTTCCAGAGTTGGTCTGACTCTACTGAACGTCTACTGCGCGCTGATACCATCAGATTGGTCTTCTCACCATTTACTGCCAGACCCACTGCGACAGATTCCTTCTCAAATTGTTCATCTAGGTTTCCAGTCTTCAGGCATCCCACACCCAAATAAATCCGTGTGCGACAGGCCTGTTTTATGCAAAAACACCCTGTCTTTACCACTGTCCGTTCAGCTAGTCTTCCGGGAAGATAGTGCCAACTATTCCCATCCACCAGATCAGAAGGCCTGAGCCAATCATCTTCATCCAAACGGCATGCCACGCTTAAGCTTATATTTGATTGCTCTACATCTCACCTCCAGATCAAGCGGCACGGCGAAACAGTGTGACAAACTGGCAAACATGCTAACATGACGACCTGCTGGCACGAAAGAAGCTTCCTCTGCCGTAAGAAAAATGAGGCAGTTTTGTACCATATGTTGCAAGGCAACAAACAACCCTCCATATATGGCACACACAGCACGCCTACTCAAGCCCCAAGCAGCCCACAAAAAAAAACGCTTGATGGTTCCTACGACCGTTGTCAGCTTCTTATTGTACTGATCAAAGTGAACAAGGAAATTCAACCTCTCGGTCAGCGTTATTCCGAGATACTTAACTGTACTCGAATACCGTATGCCATGTTCACCAGCTTGAATGAAGGAGGACGGCTGTGTGACAACCTACCTTTCAGCAGCATCAGCACCGTTTTCTCTGTTGCAAGGCGACTATCTCATTCAATCACGCTAACCCATAAAAGGAAGAAATATGCTTGAAATGTGACCCGCTCAGGCTATCTTGCACATGCCGCCACGCGTCCCCGGTACATCTACCCTAGGTAAAACCGAACTGATACAAGAACGTTCATTCGCTGTAACATTCCCTAAGTCGTGCCATCATAACGGACTCGATATATTCCGGCATGACCTTCCAAATGGCTTTAACCATCCTTCCAGTCATACCATCCATACCTGGCGATTTTCTACTTCTAACCCGGCAGACACTGTTCACAATTACTATACGATCTAGACCAGGAGGTTCCCTCATTTCATCAACAACTAAAGGATATGATGGTGTCTCCAAATCCAGAAAAAAATGTTCCCAAAGGTGGTTGTCGTAGAACTGCTACGCAACCCCTGTAGGCCGTCTCGTCTCTTAGAACCACCACACACGGTATCCTATACCCCCTGGATCACTTCCATTGTCCCCTACAAAATTGCTCGAATTGTCTTCTTTGCTCCTAGGCAGCTTGTCTTTGTACGTTCTAAGATCAGTAAGGAATTTGGATTTACGCTGAAAAAATATTAACAGCAACAATTGAAGCTATCGAAGTTCATGTACCCGTTAATTTAAATGACTTCTTAAACTTTTTTATACACATTGAAATTTCTTTTCGTTTATTTTCAGGGAGGTCATTGTTATGAAACCCGTTCCCTGGATACGTTTAAATGGCTCAATAAATCGTCGAGTTTTAGATCGATGGATGGGTTCCATACTCTGCGAATGTATTGCACGCAATGGCTGTAGTGTTATGGATATATGTATACGATTCTCACATATGTTTCCCACAGATATTATGTTTCTATTGGAGATATTAAGTGATATAGGATGTTTAAACTTGAAACAAATTCAGCAGCAAGAGGTCGATATTTTCTCAACATATGAGAAAATAAAAGAATGTACGTAACACATATTTCAAATACAAATATTTTATAAGAAAAATAAATTGGAAAAATACCTTTTCTTTTGCGATTTCTTTACAGCTCCTGTTCCATTTGTTTTTGATCCCGAGACTACGTATATTTATACGCATGGTGATGCCTGTTTGCGTTATTCATTGTTCATTGGCAAGAAGAAATATTCAGTTGAGTTTATATAGAAATAATTTGCGTATAATTTGAATAGATTGTATTGTTGTATAATAGAATAAAATTTCATGCACTTCATATGGGGTGTTGAAATAAAATCACTTAACACATTTCGTTATTATTATTTTTTTGTTGTTGTTTTTCTTTCTCTGAAAAAATATATATGTATGTATTTCATGTTTTGGGTGTCTGTTTTTATATTCAGTGGAAAATATACAATATTACCTTTATTTGTTCTTCTTAAAAATTAAAAAAATAGCTAGCATTCAAAAATGTGGAATGCTTTTAGTTAAACGTTTTTATGATGGGGGGAGGGATTGTTGTGCCCCCGCTTAACACATATTTTGTAACAAATTCAATATATATGCACCAATATCTTCATCTTGATTAGTCCATGTAATCAACAATGTCTTGTGCTTGGAATCTTTTTCATCTTCTTCGATTTTAATTTCTACAGTCTCCACAACAATTGTACAATTTTCTTGCATTGCCACCGTCCAACCAGTTAGCTTTTCCTGCAGCAATGCCAATAATTTTTCACCTGTTCGTATTTTTGGTCCAGGATCATCCATTTTGACTTTGGACGTGAAACGCATTACATGTCGATTTATACCGATCTCTTTCAAAGCTTCTGTGAGATTTTGTAACATTATTCGGTTATCTTTCATAACCAGAACACCGTGAATCAGACGTCTACGTTTGGGATCGGGAGGTTGAGCATTATAGATACGTGTTTCAGCTTTAAGCAATGACACCGATGCATCTACGGGTATTTTAACAGGGGTTGATATGACGGACGTCTCACCATTAGCCGGCATATATGTTTCAATGTTAAATTCTTCACGAATTTTATTACGCAAAAATGCCATTTTTTCGGCCTCACCATGAACGAGCATTACATTTTTTGGTTCACAATTTTGTATGAGCTGCATTATACCTAAAGTATATGAAAATATATTATTTATATTGACTAACTTTCCCCTGCTTTATACACACCTTTGGCATCAGCATGAGCTGAAAAACTCATATATTCCACCGACATTTTTACATCGACCACTTGACGATTTTCAAACTCCACTTTCTTGGCACCACTTAAAATCTTATTGCCCACTGTACCCTGGACACAATAGCCCGGCATAATAACCATATTATTTTCATTGGGTGCCCATTTCTTAAATATTTGCAACGACAAACCAGCATGTAACATGCCGGGTGTTGCAAACACCACCATTGCTCCGGGATTATCAATATACGTTTTATCGAACGGTTTAATGTGTTTAAAATCAAACATATTGCGATGTACAAATGTTTTCCTGATCTTTTGATTTGTCCATGTAATAAACATTTTATAGTAGGTATTTGCCTTTTCGGTTAAACCCAATGCAAAATATATGGGATATTTCAAATTCATACGTTCCCAATAGGTTTCCAGTAGTATACATAATTCCTGGGCACGACCCAATGCAAAGACGGGTATCAACACCTTACCACCTTTCGATACACATTCGTGGACTTTTTTCAAAAAATCCCGTTCACGACAACGTTTCGAATCTCTTATGGTGGTGGCATATGTACTCTCCGATATCAACAAATCGGGACGACATTTATCAATCCAAGCAGCACCCAAATGCCGATCAGGTGTCATATTATAATCGCCGGTATAAACAACCGATTGAGAACCAACACGTATCCAAAACATTGCCGCTCCCAAGACATGACCAGCATAATATGCCTTTATTTCCAATTCACTGTCGACCATTACACTTTGATGTAAGGTGACAGCTGTCACCTTTTTCATGCAATCCTTAATCATTTGTGTCGTAAAGAAATTCGATTCACCTTTACGTTCAACAGCAACTTTACGCATATCCTCGAGAAGTATAGGAGCTATGGCTTTGGTGGGATGTGTCATATAAATTGGACCAGAATAGCCTACCATTTCCGACATATATGGTAAGGCTCCACAGTGATCTGTAAAAGAAACATGGATAATAGAAGCCTTAATTACGTGCACATTTTTATTGCTGCAGCTAAATTGTCCCATTTAAATAGATGTTGAAAATAATTTTTCAACATATATTTTCCATAGCCTCTACGTAGAGGACTTTATTTATCTTCTGGAGCATGTCCAGCAACATTATAACTTAGTATGGGCCCAATACCATTGGTTTTGGTTGCAGTAACGCTTTTCGAGGGGATGCTAGACTTATTGGAAAGGAGACAATTGCCAGGAGAATCAATCGATGCATTTTTCCGTGATATCAATTTAATGAGGTCGAAATTGGAAACATCAGTTTCTGAATTTGAGATGATCTCATTAGTTAAGTTAAATTTAGGAAATAATCTATCCAGTATAGTTTACTCCAATCTTCCGATTGAGAGATCTGTGAAACAAACCATTGGCTATTTCACTGGCAAGATACGCATGTTCTACTGCGAGGTAGTCGGTTACAAATGGTCGAGAGAACCTGCTTGCAGAATCTCAAAAGCTATCTGGCCTGAATTCTCTCGCCGAAGAACTTTGTCGCTGCTGTCACATAATAAGAGAGAGAGATAGATATATCAAAATCATTGTGGGGATCATAACAGGTCACTGCAAGATTAGATCTCTCATTTCGAAATGGGACTCCGGCGGAGAGGATTACTGTTGTCTATGTGAGTACGAAGAAGGGCTAGAAACAATTGAACATATCTTCTGTAAATGTCCATCGCTGATTGGCATAAGACATAAACAGTTTGGAAGATATATAATCTAGCCTTCTTCTCTAAAATAGACCCCAACCAGATCCTAGGCTTTGTCAAAAATCTGGCATGGCTAAAATAACCATCTTTCCGGGAAGACTAAAATAGAATGTGTGCATCTATCTGTTAATAATAGTCGATGATATCGAACATCACCTTGGTCCATTTACCATAAGTTGACTCACTTCTATATGCCTTTTGACTGGGGAAATCCTCATCCATTCTCACAACATGATCTAGCCAACGTAGTCGCTGCAGCTCGATTCGTCTGCCAATGCAGATGTCGGAGAATAGATGGTATAGCTCATGGTTCATAGAACTTTTGGAGAATTTTTCCCTCAAACACTTCAAGAGATGTCTCATCTGCTTGCGTAAGTACCCATGCCTCAGATCCATATAACAGCACGGGTAGTATCAGCGTCTTGTAAAGTGTGAGTTTGGTCTGGCGAGAGGTGGCATTGTTTCTAAACTGTTTACTTAGACCACAGTAGCATCCATTGGCCAACACTATCCCATTCCGAATTTCCAAACTTATATCATTAGTTGTATTATTGGCAGTACCGAGGTATATTAAATCATTGATTACGTCGAAGCTGTAGATTTCAAGTTCCGAGTCTACTGGACAGCATGATCTTCTCGCCATTTATTGCCAGACTCCTTCTCAATTTGTTCAAAGGTTGCTGTCACCGCTCGCAATGTTCGACCCATTACGTCGATGTCATCGGCGTAGGCGAGTAACATGTGTTGTTTGATGTGCAGACTGTCATTTCTGTTCACCTTTGCCACGCTTATGACCTTTTTCAGCAGGATGTTAAACAGGTCACACGACAAACTGTCACCTTGTCTGAATCCTCGTTCGGTACTGAAGGGCTCCGAGATGTTCTTTCCGACTTTAACTTTATCGTGTGACAGTTAGAGTTATCCTGCACAGCCTATTAATTTTGCAGGAATGTCGAACGCAGATATGTCTTTAAATACCTCTGAATGGATAGGGCTGTCAAATGCGGCTTTATAGTCGACGAATAGGTAGAATTTGTTGGTATGTTTTTCCTGGGTCTTTTTAAGGATTTAGCGCAGAGTGAAGATCTAGTCAATGGTGGATTTGCCAGGCCCAATATTATCAGCACTTTATATGCGATCGGAAGGAGTCTTATTCCTCTATAGTTGGCACATATCGTCTGGTCTACTTTTTTGTACGGGACAAATTATTCTGAGGTTCCAATGCATTCCTCTAACCAAATTGTACTAATGAGCTGATGCATTCTCCTGAATAGCATCTGACCACCGGTCTTGAATAGTTCGAGTGATAGGCCACCGGCAACTGCTGCTTTATTACTCTTCAGCCGATTGATTGATATTCTGACTTCATCTAGGCTAGGTGGTATACACTCTATATCGTCATCTCTTATTGGTTCTGGGTATCTTCTTCACCGCCACTAATTGATACTAGAAGTTTTTCCAAATTCTCCTGTCTGTATCTGTCACCAGATTTTCTTATTCATCTCTACATGAAGTTTGTGCCATAATATAGATCCCAGTACCAAAGTCTTGGAAAATAGGATGGTTACTTGGAACTGTCGGATGGTACAGGCGAATCATTTAATATTTCGCCTACATCGCAGCAGCCCTAACCAGATGTTCTCAATTACTCTTAAAGCCATGGAATTCTTTACAACACTGAAACATGTCCTCACTTTATAAACTGTACTTCACATCGGAATATGTCGTCGGAGCAAAAAAAATGAAGATGGGGAGGGAAATCCCATCGCGTTTTAATAACAAAAACTAAATTCGTATCAAAGGAACTATTCTGTAACAGAGAAGGAGGTCTTAGCAGTAGTTCTGATAATGAAACGATTTCGCCCGAAAGTTTTTGTTCATTCGTTCCTGTATGTGGTCTTTCCATTTCAGTTTCCTATCGGTGATACCTGTCAAATATTAAACTTTATTTTAAATGGCTACCACTTTGTCTTGGAAGATCAAATAAAAAATAAGTTCAAATAAATCTGCACAATTGTAATTGTGCAGTTGCTAAACTGTCTCCTGGGTGGAATTTTTTTTGGGCTTTACATTTTTGCAATCTGTTCTTCATCCGCTTCAGAAAGATTTTTGTAGCGAATTTTATTTTTTAATTTATTTTCCCTTTTTTTAAATAAATTTGTATAAATAAACAATGATTGCATGGGACAAATTAAATATATATCATAAGTCTAGTACAAATTATAATATTTATTATTTTTCATGTTTTTTTATATATATATATATCTCAGGAAATATGTATGAATGATGCACGAACTGGTCCAAAACTTGAATTGTTCCCTCCAATATATAAGAATTTAAAATTTCAATGTATTGTTGTCAGTCTGTATGATATATAATTAACTTGAAATTCTAATAATATAAACATATAATGCATTCATCGCTTCCTCCATGAATGTCTATTAAAGTCGTGTAATCGGTTATCAGTGTTCCCATTGTGTAAACATACATTTCACAAAGATGCTACAGAGCTTGTGTTGTGTGAAACATGATATGAACAAACAGATATTGCTCAATAGGCTTATTCGGGCATACCAAAGATTCATTTTTTTTTTAATTCGAGACAACTGCAAAAATACAACAGGCAAACATTCAAATGCATTTAGGTAAAATTTAAGTTTATTTAGAAAATTAGGACCTTCTTATAACAATAAAAATGTATCCTCTGCACTGCGTCTAATAGACAAACAATAGACATTCTCAATTCGAGGAATTATAATACGCATTTGTTTTCAAGACCAACTTACCCAAATGAAAGTGAGATATTATAACACAATCAATGTGACTGGTTATGGGCCCGTCCGGCACAATGTATGAGAAATCTGGAAAGCGTCTTTCATCATTATAGCCCATATGCATGCCACAGTCCAACATGATGTTTTTGCCACCCATCGACAACAGCAAACAACTACGACCAACATCCTGGCCAGCTCCCAGCGGAGTCACTTTAATATCGGGCATATTTCAAAAACAGAAACAAATGCCGCCGCACATATACGAAAATTGGTTTGCCTATTTTTTTTTTTTGTATTTTTATCAGGAAATGTGTTGAGAGTTCTAAAGTGTAAAATAAACAAAATTAAACAAGCTTGACAGACAGCTGATTATGTTGTGTGTGTGCTTGACAGCCGGCCCTGTAACAGGTTTTGCAGTGAACAGCTGATTGGTTGGTTACTGAATGCAAAAACTAATTGGATTATTTTAAAGGCGGGTGGACACATGTCGAATTGATTATTTGATATGAAGTTTACATAGAGGTATAAATATTTTGTATTTAACATATACACTTAATAAAGGGTTCGATGAGGAATGTTTTTCGTGTATTTCACTAAATTTATGGCCAATTTATATTGTGTTCCCTTATTTTTTTAAATGAAAAAATGTCAGCATTGTCCTCAGACAATGTTCAAAGTTTGAATGAAATTTTATATTCCGTGATCAACATTTGACTCTATATGGAGGAGGTATCAGAAGGAGTGGACCGATAAATCCCATCAGCATAACATATACAGGTATGATTAAATATTAAATATTAGATTTTGAAAAGTTTGGTTTGAGTCGGATGCTCTTTTCGTATATTATAAAGTACATTTCATCTCAATTTTGACTAGTTTTGGTGGGATTGGACCGATGGGTCCCATCTTCGAGCTTGATTTTAGTTTGATATATTACGATGTGCATATTTGGCATCAAATCGAAAATCCCATACCATTGTTATTGGATTAACAAAATTTCAAAATGTTGGGTGAGGTAGACCGATGGATTCCATCTTTAGATTCGATCTAGGCTAGGTACAAATATTACGATGTGTAGGTACTCTTCCTCGTCTTTCAAGGGTGAGTCGTTCCCAACATTGATTCGGGGCTCTCCGGCTAAGGCGGAAGGATATTTTCGAGAATTTCAAAAGAATTCAATGCATAGGTCATCAACATTTGTGGGAATTTCTTGAATTCAGTACTTGTAGTTTTCGAGACTGAGGGTGGCAAGGTAGCCACATCAACATTAGTCGAAAAATCGAATACATTGCTTTTATTATTTTTAGAAGAAGGGGATTCATAGACGAACGATTTTGTGAGGATTTGAGGTCGGACATGGCATAGCCTCTTACCATGCCTGAAATATCAACAAGGCTCCATTCTATACAACAGTTCTGACTGCAAACCGCAAACATTGATTGGCACGAGGTATCCCTTTTTGGAGAAGGTACCAAAAGGAATAGACCAATTCGTCCCATCTTCTGACATTCCCTAGGATTGGTAATGGTGTTTCTACACGATATGTATTTTACATATGTGCTGTCACTTTTTTACATATGGAAATCGAACTCGTCATGTGAAACATACGGAAATTTCAATGTGTCAAAACGATATGCAATTACATATATTTTTTTAGGACGCGCTCTATTTTCGTATGTGAAACATAAGGAAATCAGCTGTTTGAATGAAACACATTGTTGGAAGAAAATATTTCAATTGCAATTCAAAGAAAAGGATGAAAAGGCAACAATTACAAATTATTATTTCGTTTGTAGGTGTTTAATAAAAAAATGATGTTGATTTAAGAAAAAATAAAAGTGTTTTTTTGTTTATAGATTATGTCATATGTAAAATACATATGCCGATTTGAACACAAAAATAAATGTTTTGTGTACACTGCTAATTTTGACACACATAAGGAATTACATATGGATGAAATAAGTGACAGCACATATGTAAAATACATATCGTGTAAAAACACCATAAAGATACCAGAAGGAGTGAACCGATATCCTATATATTCGCACATAAGCTAAGTTTGGAAGAAATATTAAGATGTTCAAAGTTTAGATTAAATCGCTTGCTCACTTCGAGAGTTATCGTCGTATCGAAACATGGGGTCTTAAACCAATATTTCGATGGATCTGCTTGAATTGAGTTTAAAAAGCCCATTTAACATTTCAAACAAAAACAAATTGAATTCGGCCATTCTGATTGAAAAAATCAATATATGTAAACATAGTATTATTGTATAAGTGCTTTCAATCGGTGCTATCGAAATATATGTTATCGAGAGAACATGTGTGTGTGTGAGAGTGTTTTGTAAACAAACAGAGAGCGAGCATAGACCGAACATATGTTATGTTATCTCTGTTTACAACATAAAAAATCTAAATTTCGTAAACAACCAATCAACCAGGAATAAAGAACGAACGGAAGGAATGCTGGACGAAACCGTTTCCTTGCGTATTTGCCAGGATGGTCATGCAAATGCATTGGCATTGAACAAGGATTGCAATCAAGTGGCTGTTGCTGGACGAAGTTGTAAGTTGGGCAAATTAAATATGAAGAATTGAACTCGATACAAAAGTGACTTCAAAAGCCACCATATTGAAGGTCCGATCAGGGAGAGTTTTGAATTCTATACCGCAAATTAGTTCTAATCGCCATGATGACAGCGATATACTTTTTTTCTTGGACCTCCAAAGTTCTGCTGGAAGCCTTGTATTTTCCTATGATTTTTAAAATTCAATTTTGAATCAATTCATTTACTTATCCAAACACATCCTTCTTTTCATTCCAGTACTCAAGCTATTTGCCATTGACAGTGACGATGGCGGTTTCACGGAAGTTTGTAATATGCGTAGCGGTAAAAATCCAAATTTAAGTTATTCCTCCAATGATGTAGCCTGGAGTTCACTGGATAATAATATACTAGCCACAGCTGCGACAAATGGTGTTGTATCCGTATGGGATCTATCAAAATTTGGTAGACAAAAACAGTTATTGGTCTACAATGATCATCAACGTACAGCGCACACGGTGACATTTCACAGTAGTGAAATGAATCTTCTGATATCGGGTTCACAGGATGGTACCATAAAATGTTTTGATACACGTTGCGACAAGGCTGTCAATACATTTTACAGTAATTCTGAATCGGTGCGAGATGTTAAATTTAGTCCACACAGTCCGCATACATTTTCGGCAGTCTCGGAAAATGGTACAGTTCAGTTGTGGGATTTAAGGAGGTATATTGTATTTAAAAAAGTACGAAAAGAGCTTTTAATGATCTGTATGTTATTTTTTGTTTTGCAGAGCCGAAAAGTGTATATTACAGTTTACAGCCCACAGTGATCCCATTTACACCTGCGACTGGCATCCGACAAATAATTGGCTGGCCACCGGTAGTAGAGATAAACAAATCAAAATTTGGAATATGGATGGTAAAGCTTCCTTGGATCATACAATACACACAATTGCTGTTGTCGGGCGGGTCAAATGGAGGCCAGAAAAAACGTAAGTGCACTACGATTTTCAGAAGATAATTTTATTATTTTTTCTTTTCTTTTTAGTTACCACATTGCCAGCTGTGCTTTAGTGGTTGACTACAGCATTCACATTTGGGATATACGCCGGCCCTTTATACCCTTTGCCTCATTTAATGATCATACAAACGTGACGACGGGTATTGTTTGGAAGGGTTCGGATACAAATTGTTTAATTTCAACAAGTAAAGATTCAACAATATTTAAACATGCTTTCAAAGATGCTTCCCGTCCTGCTTTGAAAGCCAATGCTCAGGGAGCAAGTTTGGGACGAAAGGGAGATATATCATTTGCAAATAAATTAAAATATTATTTACCAGTAACGGCTGCACAAGTTGTTAAATCGAATAGCAATAATAACAATAATACACCAATGTAAGTTTATTTTTGAAAAATTTTATTTTTATTTTTTATGATTGAAATATTTATTTTTATAGACAACGACAAAGATCCATAACTGGAGCTGAACAATTTCATATTGGCAAATCGGATATGTGTAGATTTCTATTGAATTCATCGGTAAGTTTAAAATTTATATATTAGCCATTTCAAAGTATTAATTCCACAAATCCAAATCCTAGCCTTGCGTGGTTCCCCCAAAAAGTTTTTTTTTTTAAATCGAAGCCATTTGTAGGTCCTTGAATTTTTTTTATATCCAAGCCTCTGTGGAGCTTTAAAAAATATTTTTAAAAAATCCACAAAAATATATATTTTTTTTAAATCCACGCCTTGTTAATTATTTAAAATATTAAAATATTTTTTCCCCACAACAGTATACCGGCTATGTTGATCCTGAACTATCCATACAATTAAAAGAACACGAATGCTTTATTGGCTGTGCCAAGGAGCTAATGTTGACGGGAAAGAAATTGGCGGATATTTGCAAACACAACGCCAGCGTTTGTCGTAAATATGGAAAACATAATGCCACAACGCTGTGGTATTTTGTTGAAATTGCCTATGGGTCGAATGAGATGAATAAATTAAAATATGAACATCGTAATTCATTTTCGACACAAAAAAATTCCCAAACATCACGACGACCGACACAAGTTGTTAATACCGACGTGCTAAAATGGGATCATAATGAAAATAATAATGTTAATGGTTCCGATAATGACACCGAACTTAAGCTGCTACAAGATGATGATCTAATGATGATGGATCATAATGGTCCAGGTGGTGGTAAACAATTTTATCCACCGTATGGTTCTGTAATACTATCCGAAACACAGATGTTAACCGAAATCACTTTTGATAATTTTGATCATTTGCGTAATGGGTTTATCTATGTTGGACCACCGGATATTTCTAAGGCATTGGCGTTGCCTGAAACAACGTTACATTGTGATGTGCAGGCAGCAAGGCCGCAGTTAGATATCAATGCAGAGGATCGTGATAAATCACCGGTATGTTCGACTTCTCAACATATAAAATAGTTATGAGACTTAATTGAGTTTATAATTTTTTTTTAGCCCCCCAACATGCCAGTGGAGTTAAAAGTTACAAATGTCCCACCTGTACCCTTGTGGGAGCCTCATCAATTTATTGCCGATGCATTGCTATTGCAAAATGATGTTGGTGATGTCCAGACGGCTCTGTCAGTTTTAATTGCCATGGGTGAAAATCGCAAATATCTGCCAATACATGAAGCTTTAATAGTAAGTATTTTTATACCCTCCAACGGAGACCCCATAAAGTATATATTTTTATTATTATGCGATGGGAAGGAGACTAATTCCTCTCTGGTTGGCACACGTCTCCTTTTTGTGCAGGGGACACAGGATGCTGAGGTTGGAATCTTTGGTCATGCATTCCTCTAGCCAAATTATACTAATCAGCTGTTGCATGCTCCTTACACCAGTCTTGAATAGTTCGGCTGGTAACTCATCGGCACCTGCTGTTTTATTATTCTTCAACCGATTGATTGCTATTCTGACCTAGGTGGTATACACTCTATATCGTCATCTCTTATTGGTTCTGGGGTATCTTCTTCACCGTCACTATTTGATACCAGAAGCTTCTGTATCTGTCACCAGGTTTCCTTCTTCATATCTACATGAAGATGTGTCTGCACAAAAGCCTTCGCTTTGGTGTTTTACTCGTTGGTAAAATTTCCGTACTTTTTTCTGACTCCTGTACATCTCGATTTGCTCACGCTCACGTTTTTCTTGTTCTTTCTTCTTTTTTCTGAAAATACGTTTCTCCTCTCTCTCTTTTTCTCCCAATAATTCTCCATCGCACTACGTGTTGCTACTGCCTGCAGGGTTGCCCTATCCAATGGCAAAATGTCTTCCGATTTTTGCATTCAAATCCTATAAGGGAATAATATCGGCTTTGTACTTCCCGAGTACATCCGCCAAGGCGAAAACTGCGCCTGTTCTGTACAACGTTCGCACATTCCAAGTGCAGATTCGCAGATCGTGGTCCTTTATACGTTTTCGGGGGTCGTCAACATTAGGGAGGTTTGACTTTCTTTTTCTTTGCTTTTTCATAGTAAGAGGGGTTTTCCCAGTGTGGGCAACCCGACGCCTCAACCCATTTTTTCTAGTTCTTATGGGTGAACTCGCGGCACATATCAGCTCAATATTTCAACGGGTAATGAAAATAGCTACCCCAGGTGACACCGCGGGGAGGTCAGGGTCCACAATTGGGATGAAAGAGGGACTTCGCTATGTTAAAGCCAATCAGAGCTGTTGCTTGGTATCTATCATCCCCCACGCCCCATGCTGGTATTTTAAATGTCTAGCCCATAGTGGAGGTATAAGAAGTTCGGCGCCTTCGTGTTTACTTGTTCACTTTATTTGCATAATTTGGAACCTAACCCATAAAGACTTCCCCAACTACTCCGAAAATCTAAAATATTACAAACCATTCACTTAACAAAATATTCCTTTTTCTTTTCCCGCTTGTTTAATAGGAACATTGGTTTCAAACCTACATCGATCAGTTGCATCGCTATCAAATGTGGAATGAAGCGTGCCGCGTGATAAATCTCTCTTGGCTTCGATCGGTGCGGGAACTTAATCAGAAATCCACTACGGTACATACAAATTGTGGTGACTGTGGTAGACCGCTGGGCGGTAGCGTCGGTTGGTATTGTCAAAAATGTAAATCAATGCGTTTGGCCAAATGTTCGATTTGTGGTCTTATTGTACGGGGCCTATATGCCTGGTGTCAGGGCTGTTCTCACGGTGGACATTTACAACACTTAATGGCATATTTTACCAACAATTCAAATTGTCCCAAATGTGGTCATCTGTGTGAATATAATTAAAAAAACAACTGAGACAATATTAAGGTTTGGTATCATCAAGAAATTTATGAAAGTTAGGCGTGGCAAAAAAGAAACAAATTTTTGGTTGTTACTTATGTTTTTTTTTTCATTATATGTATAATTTTCAGTAAACACATTTATTAAGAGAACAATCCAGAAATAAATTTACAAATCAAATGATTACATACATATGTACTAATTATTAGATATATTCCTTTTGTATATAAAATTTTTTCAATTGATAAATGTACTTTTAAAAGGTAATATACAGACTACCTTCAAAAGTGACGGCATTAAAAGATGTTGAAGAAGAAGAAAAAGTAAAAAATACAAATAAAAAACATTAAAATATATATAAAAATTTTAAAGAGATTTGGAAAAAAGGTGTGCGTTTAAATATAAGTACAAAAGCACTTTTAGGAGATTGCTTGGCTAGTGTATCTCTAACTACAAAACCAAGCCAACTACTTGGTGCCAGAACTGCCCTCAAAGCCGAAAATATATTGGAAAATATATTTTCTCTCGCTCAACACAGCTTTGAGAAATCGTAACTTTAATGTTTTTGTTTCTTTTTTTATTACACAAAAAAGGGACAAGTTTTCTTTTTGCAAAATAAAAAAATTCTAGTATCATGTGTCCCTTGCAAAAAATAAAGAAACAAAAAATTTAAAGTTTTGATTTAGTGGCAGTGCTGGCGGCTAATTGTCAAGAGTTAATTTCAAGGCTCACTGTTTGGCAAGCATCAACACCATTAGGAGCAGAGGAGCCGGCTGCGGCGGAAACACCCTCAACATTAACAGATGTTGGTGTATTGGCCAATGGCGTGGCCCGATTGAATGCCGTTAAATTATTTTTAACCGCCGGAGATTCATCATAACGTATTGTCATTGAATTGGAATTACCGGGTATGAGTACATAACCCAATGATTCGTAGAATTTGATCAATTTATCCTTGCAATCCAATGACATTTTGTAACAACCCAAATATTGAGCCAGCAATGAAACGGTGACAACAATTCTAAAAAAAAAGAAATTCATAAAAAGGAGATGTTTAAAAAACAATAGAAAAAGTGAATGCCTTACAGTTTTCCCAACTGTTTGCCACGATAGGTGTCATTGACAACCACATCCTCCAAACGGCCACGCTGTTTAATTAAATAAATAAAAATTGTATTGAGTGAGGGAATTTTTTCCGGTGTAAATTTCTACTTACAATTGCACAGTTGTGTATAAATTTACGTTCAATAACCAGAGAAGCAGCACCAATGATTTCATTTTTACGTGTATCCTCAATGACAGTGACAAAGTAATCTCCACTGGCTTTCATTTGAGAAAAACGAGCTGGAAAAAAATAAAAAAAATGGTTTAAATTTTTTTTTAGAATCAGATCCAAACGTTGACGAACCGGCAATTCTTTTGGCAAACGAGCAGGTCAGGACTGATGAAAATCAGTCTCTGACTGAAAGGACTGTAGTTCGTGGAGGGGACGACAGACGGGACTCTAAATGCTATCCGCGATAGAAAAGTAAGGAAATCTTCGATCAGTTAGACAGACTCATACCAGAAGAACAATGTGAGGATACGCTTCCGGAGGAACTGCTACTGAATCTCAACCTAACTGATGAGCTGGACACCAGGGTGATGCCAGCCAAGTCTACAACAGGTCCTGTGTCGACACCTGCCGGCAATAAACTTCAGAGGCAATCTGCGACGAAGGCGATGACCGACGATGGGTAATCTGTAGAGACCCCAGCAACGGACAGCGGCTCAAATGTTGGGAAGGCCCGAGAAGTAGCTGATGCGAAGCATTACAATCGTGCTGTTTCGTATCTCCGCAAATTCCGAGCGAGACGCGAATTTGATTTAGGAGAGAGAGGTTCACCTCATCAAGGGCAAAATGAGATTCGTAAGGAAGTTCGAAAAAATCTATCCGCACGCTCTCCATCGTGAACTTCAGATGGACAGGTTCTCCCTCACGAATCTTACACACTGTCTCTGACAAAGCTGCTAAGCCGACTTCTGATCTGAAGCCTAGCTCGAAGACTAACCCTAGTCAAACGGCAAAGGAAAAGTATAACTTAGATGGAAAGATCAAGTGGAACACAACATTGCCGAACATAGTCTTTCAAATTGGAAGAACTGCGCAAAAGACCGTCGCGCCTGAAAATCTTAATTATGTATTTGAAACTTTATGTTTATATTGTTTTTTTTTTTATGCGAACCAGTCTCATTATTTTCAGTATTCATATTTCTAATGCAATATTGAAATATATTTAAATGCTATGCCTTGCCGGCTATACTTACTTAAAAATTGTGTCCTTGAAACTGGACCGACATGAGTCAATTGTGACAATAATTGCAGGAAGCCACGATCATAATCACCATCCTTCAAGGGTCTGACCTTGAGCCATGTTTCACCAGGGCAAGCTGCTGAAATAAATGGATTGAATTTGGCTGGACTTTGATGGAAATCCAATTTTAATAAAATATCCGGATCATAGAGGTATGTCTCCGTCTAAAAAAACCACAACAAAAATAAAATTAATAGTTGTTGATATTAAAAAGATAACAAAATAATTTCAAGTACTTTTTTTGTGAAATTACCTGTAAAACGCCAACCATTTTATTAACAATTTGATTTTATAGATTTCTTTTATACGCAATTGCAATCTATAATCAAAACCGAACAAAAAATTGGAAGATGCCAACGTAACCACAAACGAAACTCGTCTAATTCTACAAAAAGTCAGACTCAAATCAACAACCTATCATCCGAAAAAAAACTACTATGGCCACAACATAATAAACCGATACCGGTTTCAAAAATTTTAAATTCCTTTTCTTTTACTTTTTTGTTGTTATATGGGTGTATAACATTTACTAGGCAGTTAGTCTGTCAGCCAATCTGAATGACAGAGATCGGGGCAACAACTACATAATGCAGAACAACAACATCAATTCTTTCCTTTATCATTATTAAAGTCAGGTTTCTTGCCGTTATACACCACTTGCACTCTCAATCACCATCGCCACCGTCATCATCATCACTACCACCCATACCAAATGTGTAAATGCTGTTGCTGCTGCTGCCCGCTTGCTCTGGGGTCTTCAGGTAAATCACGAAACAGAGAAAGAAGGGCAAAACACACAGAATAATAATCTTAAATGAAAAGTGAAGGCTAAATTAAGAGTAAAAAACCTGTCCCAAAAACAACCAAGTAAATGACAACCGAACTAGAAATGTATGAAGGTTTTTTGTTGTTGTTGCAGTTGTTTTGCTGCAGTATTGAGCCGGTAAATATGAACTAGAAAAGATACTACTATTCAAAGAAATAAAGGAAGGTGGTGGCATACAAAATGTAAATGTTAATTTTTGTTTTTGGAATTCTAGTTCTGATTTCAATCAATACTAGTAGTAAAACTTATTGTTGTACATAAAATTTAAATAAATTTTAAGACCGGTTAATATTCTACATAGTTTAACGAACTTGAATTGTTGTGGTGTGTTTATATAGGAAATATAATATGTTTCGCTGTCTATATAGCATATGATAGAATATGCATTAAACAGAATTATTAACTTCAAATGAAAAATGGTTATGAATGAAGGAACAATTGGCCCTTAAATGGATGCTGATCACACATTTTGAAGTATTTCTATGATTTGGTTTTTATAGAATTTAAAATTGACCGATATTATTCTAATTCAAAATGAAGTCAGGGCTTAAATCTAGATTAAGGCCAGATCACGGATCGATTTGTGATTCTTACTATGAGGGCGGTTCGGAAACTTCTTAGCCTATCAATGAAAAAGAATAAGGTGTGTCTGGTTACCCTAAAGTTTGTAACAATTGTTACAAATTGTTACTGGAAGTCGTCTGTTAACCCAAAAGTTCTGCAAAAGAGAGCGGTTGGAGAGAGAAATTTTGACAGTTCTTTCAGTGAGAGTTTGCAAATTCTTGCTGGAAAAATTTCTTCTTGCAATCTCTTGCAACTCTTCTTCTTCTCATACATCGACATTCAATCAGATGTTTTCTATTGTTTGTTTATTTATTTTTGTGCTTTCAATTTGAAAATAATTTTTTTTGGAATTAGCAAGACTAATTGTTTTTGGAGAAAAACTTTACAAAACGAGGAAAACGTAAGTATTAATATGTAATAGGAAAATAAAAGACTATTTCCAGCATTTTTAGAAAAATGACGGAAGAAGATCAGTGTGTCTCTGTAGCCAGTGGCAGTAAATTATTAAGCCCAAATATGGATTTGGATATGCAGAAAGGTAGTTATGATGGTTTCCAACTTATTTTTTTACATTTCTGTGTGAAAAGTAGGAATGGTACAAAATATAGCTCTGACTTTCTTCTTTTTAAGAAACAATTGTTAAGGTGGTTACTACATTGTTGATGGAATCATCCTCATCTGAAAGTGATGATGATGATGAGGTATTTTTTCAAGCAATATTGATAAGAGAGGACAAACTTTTCCATGATGTTTTACATATTACGAAGAAAAACAAAAGAAATGCGGTCAAAAAATACATTGAATGTTGTGTTTTCTTTCTTTTAATTCTTTATAATGGCGGACAAATTGGTTTGTTTTGACAAATCAGCTGATTAGTTGCAAGCTTCTGCAGGGATGCCGTCTGTTTACTTTTCGCATTTTTCTTGCAAAAGAGAATAAAACTACCTTACTCTCTCAGAAAGAAGTTACTGGACAATTCCTGCAGGGAAAGTAACCAGACACACCTATAGTTAGTCTCTCAAAAAATATTTTTATTTTTCGATATAAGATGTGTCTGGTTACTTTTCCAGTAACATTGATTTGGTATGTTCCCCGGGAACATTTAAGCTTCCTGCATCAAAACATTGCCCTCTATCTGGAACTTGCCTAGTAATATATAAGGAATTAGTTTCTAATTTAATGAAACTTTGCATTACTTACGAATTTTCTTCCATTTTCTGTAATTTTTATACAATTTAACTTCAAATTGTACTTTGCAAATTATTTTTTTTTTTTTGAATAATTTTTGTGTTTAGTCATAAAACATCTGATCCAAAAATGGCTGAGTTTGCAAAATCTTACTGTATAAAATTCTTTCAGTAAACTCCAGTAAGTTTGTTGTTGTTGAACTGTCAAACTTGCTCTCTCACTTGGATCTCTTTTACTGGATTTTTGGGTAAACAGACAACACTTGGTAACAATTGTTACCAAATATCAAGTAAACAGACAGAGCTATAATCTCCTGAAACTTCAATACACTTAGTTAAACGCTTTTCTAGCAATTCTATCCCTTGATTAAGGTTAGGTTATCTCAGCAAGGATTTTTTAGATTTGGGAACAAGTAAAAGTCACTGGGATCTAAATCAGGAGAAAAATGTGGGTAGTCAAGCAACTCTCACTTTAATTCGTTAATTTTATGAAAATCGTTGTCTTGATGAAAAATTATTTTTGTGTTGTAAGCCCGGACTTTTTTTCAATTTGTACAATTGTAACGTATCGGTTGTGATTTTTCTATGAAAAAATGTATAAACTAAAATTCAAATTTGAAAAAATAAATCATATTTTCATTTTTGATTTATCGAAGGAAACCATTGAAATAAGACAAGAATAAGTACGTAAAAAGCATTTGGCGCGGATGCAAATAATGGGGAAACATTCATCCGTTTCTCAGACCGGAGGGAGGCCTCCTGATACATCCTATTCGGAAACAAAAAAAAATGCAAATGATGTTGCTTCAGATGATCAATTGGATCGTTCAAATAGATGCAACGAAAGCAAGTCAGATTCGCAGAAACAATTGAATGAAGTTTTTGGTAAGTCAGTTCAATGGATGGATCAAGAATTCAAAGAAATTAAAAGGAAGAAGAAAATAAAATTGAATTATCTAAGCATCATTTTAAAAATCCATGCAGATTGGATAATGGTTTTAACTGTTCAAATATGTTTTCCTTATTAGGCGATATAGAATCTTATTTAAATGAAAACACTAATGTTCATAAACATAAACTTAATCCATAATCCAAACATGATAAGAGAGATTCGTTTTGTCCACCTATATTCCTTCAAAACGTTAATATATGCTCTCTTATTGAGCAGTTGAAAACGAAAAACGTCCAATTTAAAATTAAAAACCAATCTAAATCGAAAAGTAAATTATTCTTCAAAGATGCTTCAACTCATGCTGAAATAATGCAATTGCTAATAGAAAAGGTTTCATCTTATTCATATACTCCTAAAGTGTTTAAACGACGCAGATCTTCCAAAGATCTTTTCTCTCAAACACTCCAAGAGCTGCCTCATCTGCTTGCGCAAGTACCCATGCTTCAGATCCATACAACAGCACGGGTAATATCAGCGTCTTGAAGAGTGTGAATTTGGTCTGGCGAGAGGTGGCCTTGCTTTTGAGTTGCTTAATCAGACCATAGTAGCATCTGTTGGCCACTCCGGATTTCAAAATTTATGTTATTAGTTTTGTTTATAGAGAAGCTGCAGTTTTCAAGTTCAACAGTTGGTCCGAGTCTACTGGACGTCTTGCGCGATGATACCATCAGCTTGGTCTTTTCGCCATTTACTGCCAGTCCCACATTGGCCGACTCCTTTTCAATTGATTTGAATTATGCACCCCCTTCCTATATATGTATTTCCCTGATGATACAGAAAAATCGAATCTCAAGATTCACAATTACGAATTTTTGATTTGTGTGAAGTGTTAGTTAAACTGCGGTATTTAATTGTCCATCCCACCAATCTCATCTTCAACCAATATATTGTTAAAAAAAAAACATTTCAAACCTATGAAATTGATTGATTACAACAGTTTACAAAGATACTTCCTGCTAGCACTACTTTTATAATTGATACGTGGACTATTATTAATTTCTAATACTAAAATAAACAAAATATATGTAAGTACCACTCTATTAACAAATAGTATTCTTGATAAAATAAAGAAATATAAAAACAACTCACCATTTCCGCCATCTAGTCGTAGTGTTGTACACCCTCACACAAACTTCCTTTTATCAAAGATAAATAAAACAGAGACTGTTCCACGTTGCAGGTCGATATAATCATAGAAGTCACATCAACTGTGGTGTTTTTCTTTCTTTTATCGTGTTTCTGTTTTTGAAATGTTTACTTTTCTCCGGCGAATGAATCAATTTGCAGTTACCGCAGCACAACTTTTTGGGCTAGACTATACCAACGGGCTTTCAAAACACAACTATCAATTTTTGCGGTTGGTTATACCACGAAGATAGCAACGTAAATGAAAACAACAACAAGAACAACAACTCGACTTCAAATGTTTTGTTGCACTTTGATGGCGTTTCTTTTTTCGCTTGATTGATTAATTAGCAAGAAAAGAAAGAAAAAATTAATAACTTTTGTTATGAAGGTATGTCTAAACGAAAACAACAACAAATATGTAAAAAAAAAACAAACTATTGCGGATTGTTGTTTTTGTTTTGTTTGAGTGCGGTAAAAAAACAGCTGATAATAAGAAACACAGCTGTTAGGCGGAGTTGCCGTGGTATATTTGTTTGATGTTTTAAAAGCATCGGGAAAGTACTTTAAATTAGGGGTGCAAAAATTTATAAAAAAAATGTTTTATTTTTAAAGAATATTTTTTTTTAGAATTTGGGTCCGGTTCTACGGAACCGATTAATATCGGTATAATTTTAAAGGATATGAAAATACCCATCCATTGAGTGATAAGGTATTTGTACCACGATCAAAATGGTGCGTTATGTGGCTGTATCTGCTGTGGATCAATAGATATGGACCTTAGAACCCTACAAAATCAAGGAAATTCTTTCTACGCAACAGAATGCCCTGTTAAATTGAATCCTTTTTTGTATGGACGGCCTTCGGCCAGGGTTGTAAGACTTTTTCCTATGGACAGACATCAAAACCAGCTACGCAACAGAATGTCCTTGTAAATAAAATAGTTTTTTGGGTGGCCGAGCTTCGGCCAGGGATTTAAGTCTTTCTCCTATGGACAGATACCAACACCGGCTACGCAATAGAATGTTCTTGTAAATAGAATAGTTTTTTTTGGGTGGGCGACCTTCGACAGGGGATTTCAGACTTTCTCCTATGAACAGATACCAACAGCGGCTACGCAACAGAATCTTCTTTTAAATAGAATAGTTTTTGGGTGGGTAGAATTTCCTTGTTTTTGTAGGATTCCAAGGCCAAATCTTTTGATCTACAACAGATACAGCCACATATCGCACTATTTTGGAAAGGGCAAATTGTTGTCTATCATTTGCGAGTACATCCCCCAAGAAAATATATCCCAATAAGGAAAAATCTGGAATAATTTTTCAGACAAATCTGATCGTTTTTACTAATCTAGAGTTTAGCCGAGGTATGTAAAAATGCCACATTTTCTTTATACTTCCAGTTTTTGGCATATTCCCAACTTTAAGGTCCCACCTATTTTAGTTATTTTTGAGGTAATATTCGTATTTTAAAATTTGGCATTCCTACCTCTGGAAAATTTTTTCAGAAAATTCTGATCGTTTTTACTAGTCGTAGTGTTGTACACCCTCACACAAACTTCCTTTTATCAAAGATAAATAAAACAGAGACTGTTCCACGTTGCAGGTCGATATAATCATAGAAGTCACATCAACTGTGGTGTTTTTCTTTCTTTTATCGTGTATATCCCAATAAGGAAAAATCTGGAATAATTTTTCAGACAAATCTGATCGTTTTTACTAATCTAGAGTTTAGCCGAGGTATGTAAAAATGCCACATTTTCTTTATACTTCCAGTTTTTGGCATATTCCCAACTTTAAGGTCCCACCTATTTTAGTTATTTTTGAGGTAATATTCGTATTTTAAAATTTGGCATTCCTACCTCTGGAAAATTTTTTCAGAAAATTCTGATCGTTTTTACTAAACTAGTGTTAAGCCGAGTCATGTAAAAATGCCACCTTTTCATTGTTGGTCCAGTTTTTGGCATATTCCCAACTTGAAGGTCCCACCTATTTTTGTTATTTTTGAGGTTATAGTCAAATTTTCAAATTTGGCGTTTCGGGTTCTTGGTGAGAAAGAAATCTCTTCACGGAAATGTATTTGTATATGTTCATGTATTAACATAGTCCTATTCACAGAGGACCCGCCCCATTTTTTGGGTAAATAGAAGTGACTGTAACTTGCACTCCACAATTTATTCATAGAATTGTTACAAATACTGGCCCATGTTTTTACATGACTTTTATATTTGCGGCACGCCTTACTTAAAGTATTTTCTCTGGTCCATAAACACAGTTTCGAATCGATGTGTCAGTAATTTCCGGGGTCTTAGAGGATAAACAGTTTTTTTCCGCAGAAATGTTTCAATCCAGGTCAATGTTTTGCCGTAGTCCCCTACCTCAGAATATTTTCGATATAGGTCAATCTTTTGGCACAGGTTCATATTTTAACATAAACTCCTTGTACGAAACGATTAACCGGTATAGCGTTTAATTAAAACAAACACAATATATAAATAAAAACTATTTATTATTAAACAATTGTTAAACAATTCTCCACATCGCTATAAACAAAACAAATTTCCCTACAAAAATATATGCTGCTTCCGTTTTAAAAAACTATGTACCAACAATATACTTTGGAGTTTTATACATTTCATAGGCGAATTCTTCATGATGACTAGGATCGAATTCTAGACCAACATAATCAATTTCTAAATTAAATGGACCATCCATGCCATTTTTGGCAGCTACCGAGAAACCAAAATGTGTTATACGATTCAGCTGTATGGCCTGTTGACGATCCTGGACACGGCCTTTGGAGGAGTAGAAGAATTTCGAAAATGGTATCTGGAACAAGAAGTGATTTTTAATTACAAATTATTTTTATAAATTAAAAAAAAACGTTACCTTGGCAATTTGCCAATGAGGTCCACCTCGGGTATATAAAGCATAATGGTAGACATCATTCCACATTAAATCGAAGTAACCCTCACAATGCAGATTAATTAAATAGCTGCGGCCATCACCACGCACCTTCAACACCAACATATTGTATTGACTCCAGTCAAAGGTGGCTTCACGTTTAAAAGATTTCTACAGAGAAAAGAAATTAATTTCTTAGACGATTCCCCAAGGAACATGAAAATTGCATTTTTATAACTTACCCTAACTCTTTTTGTTCGTATATTGGCATAACCGGTGCGTTTGATAACACCATCCCTAATGTGTTCAGAGTTGACCACACCATGAAATAGACCAGCCCCAGAGTTGCTTAACTCCAGCTTGGCTGTACTCTTACCCTCATTGTGGTCCATATCGGTGGTTACAACCCATTTATCCAGTGACGACTTATCTTTGAAATTAAAAACAATATCTGTTTCTCCCGGTCGAAACACCAACAGTGGGTCGGATTCGAATTTTTCTTTCATTTCTTCTTTCCACATATTTATTTCACTTTTAAGCTCCTTCAGGCCCTCCATGATCATTTGCTTTTTCGACGGTTCCGGTAAGGCAGTTTTATATCCCGACTTTTTCTCACGTTCCCAAAATGTTTGACATATTGGAGTGGTGTGTATAAAGGCAGCTGTCGTTTGATTGTTTGGAATTGCCAAACAATTGGGCAGTAATCTTAGAGGAATACTGACACGTTTCAGACAAAACATGTTGATGTGTTTTCGTAGACTTTTTCGGCAGGCAAAATTTGTTAATTCCAAATTCACATTTTATTTACAAACAACTAATAACGTAACACAAGTCGTGGAGACTTTTACGTGAAAGGGGTGTCGAATTACCTTTGAGGTTTTCTATTGTACGGAAATGTAATAATAACCTGTTAATGAGGGAATTTTAAACGTACAAAGTAGTTACTATTTAAATAAGAAAGAAATTGGATGACACAATAACTTAATAATTATATTTCTTTATTAAAAATTTAATATTTGCACACTGCGCCTCTTTTAAATGTTATTCAGCACCGGCTGACTTCCATAGAACAGCTGTTTTAGTTTGCAATAGCAAAATAGCGATGTAAATACGGCCAAACCGTAGTCATTAATGATGATTTACACTATGTGGTTTTGTTGCATATGACAATTACTCATATATAATTGGATGTATTATTACCTCCAATACATCAAAAAAAGATCGCTTTAGCACTATATAGGTAGTGTTGGGAGTATGACAAATTAATAAAAATTATGCCATGATAGAGTATTATAAAAACTAAAAGTGAGTGGGCCCTCTTTATAAGTGCTATGTTATTGTAAATTAATTGCCCGGACGTATTTGAGAAACCAGAGTGTTTTACTCTGATTGGCTAAGTCCCCGCCTCAACCATGAGAAAACTTCTAAAATTCACGAATAGCTTAGAGAAATCTCCGAAAAATAGTCGGTACATCTGACTCTCGCTATATAACTGTTGTATGAATATCGGAAGTAAGACCTAAATTGGTATTGACAAATGAAGGTAACTAGTTTGATCATGCGACCGAAGAAGAATTTTGGAAGCCGTTCTCATTTATTCTTTTACAATAAAATAAGCCCACTTAATATGCCAATCCTTAAGTCTTCTAAAGTGTTTCCCACTTTAATCATGAAAGAAATCTAAATTGTGGACAACGTTTGAGTCGCTATCAAACATTGGAATGTTCGAAACCCCAAGAGGTCTGGGATGAACACAGAGGCGAGTACTTAAAATCAGCCCTCAATTTGTCGTTAACCACTCACACATTTCCAGAAGCCGAGAAAGTAGGCAGGGTGATCCCGTCACTGGAGCATATCTGCAGAGGTGAATCTTACAGACCTATTTCACTTCACCACTAACCTGCAAACCATGACGGCCGAGATGTGACCAAAGTCTTTCAATGATCCTACCATCAGGGTCAGCTTTGCCATTCTTGTTTCATCCGTCGAGCTGTCGTTTCCTTAGTAGCGTGATTTAATGGTCCGACTTCCGTCTACCCTGTGGTAGCCTTCCCACTTTGCCTTTGGAGCAGACCTTGAAGGTTTCTGTGAAAACTTGTCAATAGACCCGACTTTCATCTTCCCAATGACAGCCTTCCTACTATCCTTCCCAGCTGCCATATTTTATAAAGAAGGGATTCTTTGCAGCTGTTCCTCCGTCGGACTCGTCCTCTTCATTGCTATAGGCATTGAATTTGAACAGCTTCCATCTTGCCTTGGCTGAGTTGACGGCGTTCCCAAGACGCCTTGTGGCGATAGTTTTTTTCGTATTTCGTCATGACCATTAGGTGCTTCTTTATTCAGCTGAATGATTGTGCGAAGTCGGGTCCCATTATTGATTATATCTGATCTAGTGAGTTTCTACCATCTGAGGAACAGGAAAAAAATCCGTCTCCAAGCCACACTGTTCATAATGATCAATGGAGAATATATTCCGACCACCAACTACATGGGTGTAACGTTCGACAGCATTTTCATGTCTGATATTTACGATAAGCAAAATATCGCACTTGGGGCGGGGACAAGGAAATCTTGTCGACCTCTTATAAAGTAATAGTCTGGTCAGTGGTAAGATATGCGGTGCTAGTGCTTATGATATTGTTTTTCCCGCCCAAGCTCGTATGGGGAGATCTTTATGATCTAGAGAGAGAGGTCCAAATACAAAATGTGTATCATTTTAAAGCTTATGACCATCCGCTGAGATGACGTGAAGGGGTTATCTCAAGTCCAAAAAAGTATTATATTTCAGAGAAAATTCAGGGGTTCTAAGGTCCATATATTTGGAAAGGGCAAACTGTAGTATATCATTTGGTGAGGGACTATAATGGACCCAAGTTCGACTTTGAGGAAGTTTTTGAAATTGGGGTCAAAATCTCAGTTTTGGCTGTATCTCCCAAACGGTCTGAGATAACCCCTTCATATCACCACTAAAATGATACCCATTTTGTATACCCGAACTCCAGGGTCAAATAAACGGGTACGTCCCAAGAAAAAATATACCAGAAAATTCAAATTTCAGAAAATTCTGATAAAAATATCGTGTAAATGATATAATCGGAGACCATTCGTATTCTCATAGAAATATGAGCTTCTTAGACAGACAAAAATAGTTTTAGCACAGCTGTTGGTTACCACAGTCACCATTCCTACTGGGTACGAATAGTCGGGCTTTTTATCCGTTAGCGTGGTTTCATATTTGTCGGGATCGGGATCGGTGTTGAGAGTTTCTCTCTCTCTCAGTGGTAAATTGTGAATTGTGTTGGAAAACATTACCACAGGTAGGAACAAAAAAGTACGAAAAGGTACCTAAAATTCTACTTCAAATGATAATAAATCATAATTATCGAGAAATATTGGCCAATATTTATACCAGTTATTTGCATAAATAATATATGTTATAATTTAAACGTAAATGTATTCACGAATAATAAAAAAATCTAATTTTTGTTTTGGTACGTTTATGTCAATTCGTACCTTTTGTGAACAAAAAGTACGCTTGTTACAAAATTAATAATAGCGCAACTCTAATTACTCTCTCAAGAGAGAGAAACTCTCAACACCGATCCCGATCCCGACAAATATAAAACCACGCTTACTGGTGCTGACAGTATTTTTTATTTTTTTTGAGCCGTACCTAATGTCTGGCAAAACGACCACATCTGAAAAGAAAATGTGAATACCAAATAATTGATAGCGTTGGTGTAAAAACGCCTTTGTAAATACACAAATAACCAACCTTGATCACCCCCTAAAAATGTCAAAACATTGTCGTAATGTAAACAAAATCATTTATTGATTGATTTTTTTCGGTCGGAGATAATTTGTGTCTTTAGTGGGTTCGGTTTTACGATAAGGTTCAAAGATCAATTACAAATACACGAAAACAAAATTGATTAAAAGATAAAAATGGCCTATGACACAGTGGGAAAGTGTACAGCACCCTCTGAGGGAGGAAGTGGTGATTGGAATATTTTATATTGGATTTTGGGAACGATATGTATGCCGGTAGCTGTTCCATTGGTGTTGATCAATCTATGGAGACGTTCATTGGTGGCGAAGCAACGAAAGTCCTTGCCTGGTAAGGTTGTATTGATTACCGGTGCTTCATCGGGTTTGGGTGAGGCATTGGCTCATGTTTTCTATAAGGCCGGTTGTAAAGTGATATTGGCTGCCCGTCGAATTGAGGAGTTGGAGAGGGTGCGAAAGGATCTAATGGCCTTGGAAGTGGTGAGTAAGGTTGAATAATATTAATACATAATTTTTTTAATGATGTGGTTTTTCTTACAGGTCGGCCCCGCATATCCTCCCACAGTTTTGCCTTTGGATTTGGCTGAATTAAATGCCATACCGAAATTTGCCAATGATGCCATTGCCATACACAATGGCGTTGATATTTTAATTAACAATGGTGGTATCAGTGTTCGAGCTGAGGCAATTTCCACCGCATTGGATGTTGATTTGAAAGTTATGACGGTAAATTATTTCGGTACAGTGGCCTTGACCAAGGCCATACTGCCTTCAATGGTTAAGAGGCAAACAGGCCATATATGCTTTATAAGTTCGGTGCAAGGAAAAATTGCCTTACCCTATAGGTCGGCCTATTCGGCATCGAAACATGCTTTACAAGCATTTTCCGATTCACTACGCGCCGAGGTGGCTGCCAAGGGACTGAAAGTGACATGCTTTAGTCCGGGTTATATTAAAACTCAATTGTCCATTAATGCGCTGACAGCCACGGGGCAAAAACATGGAAGTAAGTATGAAGAATTTAATTTAAAAATAATTTTTTATTTTTTCTTTAAAAATATTTTTTTCTTCTTCAGAAATGGATAAAGCCACATCGAAGGGCATGTCGGCCGAAGAATGTGCCACAATTATTCTAAAATCATTGCTGGGCAACGAAAAAGATGTCATCATTTCTGATCTGCAAGCCAAGGCTGGTTTTTGGTTACGTTTCATTTGTCCTCCTCTCTACTTTTGGATTATGGAAAAGCGGGCCCTATCCACAGTCAAGGAGGAATAATCTATATATATACAAAGAAATATATAGTCAAGATATGAAAATCGATTTAGTCCAATAAAATACACACACAAATATTTATGTATAGAAATATATGTACTATGTAATTTCACAATTTATTTAACTTTATTTGTTTTCTTTTTGGTGTTACATTCTCTATTTTTTTTTTGAAAATGAAAACAAAAACAATGTTCAGTTCTTTTGAGAAGAAATCAAATAAAACTAAGGCAAAAAAGTAAAACAAAACTAAAATTAATACGAACAAATAACTTTTCACAAAATGAAAAAAATATATATTAAAAATAAAAAATAAAATAAAGCACATATGATATTTTATAACAGCTGCTAACAATAATAGTCGAGAGTGTTTTTTTTTGTTTAATTTGTTATGGCTGCTAACGTTTCAGTAAGGCTTCGTCTCCTATTTATTGCAGAATAGGAAGCATTCCGATATGTTGAACCATCTATGATGGCACATACACACATATCACCACAAAAATTGTTTTTTATATTCCATCATCATTATTTTTTTCTATTTCTTTGGGACGTTTTTGCTTAAAATTTTAAATGTATTCTTATCTAAGATATAACTTAAGGCGGCAGCTACTGTTGTGGCCCCTGTCAGGTACCACAGACCATGCAAGGCAGTGTGATCTGTTGGAAAGAGAGAGGGGGAATGATTATTATTTAACCTATGAGAGGTGCTGATTAGAAATTCTTACCTAAATATCCCCACATTGGTGCTCCCAAACTAATACCAACGGCAGATAATTGCACTCCAGTATTGATTTTGCTAATAAGAGTCGGTTCCAATTGAGCAGTAACATGTGTGGCATCGAAGTAACGAGAGAATGTTCGCTGTAAATATGAAATGAAAATTAATTTAAGAATTTATATCATCCTCTTCAATATATATTGGAAGTTATATATAGATTTTCGTAACATTTGAAGACTCATTTTTGGGAGATCTACAGTAATGGTAGATAGAATTTTAATAAATAATCCGTAGCGGACATGAGTCTTGAAGGGCATCCCAGGCAACACTTGAGATAATCTATCAATAAAATACAATGTCGAGAGATAGTGTCAGAAGTTTTTCCATATTAGCCAGAAGAACATTCCTAGGAAATTGTGTGAAAAGGATTTGGTCCAAAGAAACATGGGATTTAAAACAAATATTTCGATGAGGACATTTTTCCTGTTTAGGCTTAAGACATATGATATAATTAAACGTCATAATGATTTCTTCACAATTCTTAAATGTGGTGAAAAACTTACAGTTGAGCCGATATGTGGTACGTGGCTCCTCTGTCAAATCTACTTTTTCTACCAACGCCACTGTAGAGTAAAATTTATGATCTCCATTTCTCATTCTACATTTATTTGTATAGTGGTGACCTTGGTTACGGCATTAAAAAAAAATTGCCATCGTTTTCTTTTCTGTACTTCGTATTTTTCTACTGTAGCTTTTAGTTTTGCTTGGCATCGTCCCAAACTTCTTTTGAACTGCTGTAGCTTTGTCGATTCCAAAGCTACTACCGTCATAATGATTTCTTCGCAATTCTCAAAAGTGGTGAAAAACTTACGGTTGAGCCGATATGGTACTTGGATCCAGTGTAAATTCTAGTTTATCTACCAACGTCACTATAGAGTAAAAATTATGATCTCCATTTCTCATTCTGCAATTATTTGCATAGGGCCCTTTCCTACCACAGTAAACAAATTTGTCATCGTTTTATTTTCTGTACTTGGTTTTTTTCACCGTCTCGTTTAGTTTTTTGTCAACAGATATTTGGGGCGATGGCAACCCCAAATGTCTGTTGACATGATGTAGCTTCATCGCATACGCTTTTCCAATTTGCAGCTCCTCTTGGATTTCTCTGCTAACGTCCATCAGCTTATTAGTTATTTCGGTGAAACCATACAACTAATCGGCCATGCTCTTACAATCCGAGAAATCTTGGTTTAACAGCTTTTTGTACATTGCATCTTCTGTAAGGCTTATAGATATTCCTCAATTTTCCCACGCTTCTTTGGAGGGGTTACAGCTTTCTACGTAGTTTAGTTGGGATATTTTAAGACTCAACATAATAGTTGACAAAGCCAAATCTCATCATCAGACTCCCCTTATAAAATTGTCAGTTTGGATCCTTGTCACATTGACCATTTACGTATTTCCAAAACCCGGTATGGATCAGCACACCTCTCATATGGACACTCCAAGTCTTCTAATTCTTTTCGTCCAATTTCTCAATTTGTGGGATAAATTTCCTGCCAGGGATGATCACTTGTATTCATTTTACTATGTTCGAATTTACCACGAATGTGGTAATCAAAACAAAAAACCCGAGACAAAAGCCGGAGAAAAAATACTGAAGATCGGAAAATCACTATTCAGCACTTCTGAGGGCAAACTAAAAGTAGCCAAGTTTTGTCGGATTGAACTGAGGAGGGCATTCAAAAAGGTTCCCTATTGGACCACTTTATCGCAAACCAAAATTACAGTAATTTGGCATTTTACTGGTCATCGTCATTGTTTAGCTAGTTTGGTTCTTAAAATACATAGCTATCAGTCCTTAAATCTAATTTTGAACACCATAAATAATACTTACTGGCGGTGGCAAACTAATATAGCGTATAACAAATCCTGCAGCAATCAGGAACACATCACGAAATAGTATAGTACCAGCCAACCATAGGGGCAATAAATCACAATAGCCCATTGATATAACCAATGAGCCCATCAGCACTTTATCGGCAGCCGGATCTAGAAATGAGCCAGCCTTACTTGCTTGATTGGGCCACCGGCGAGCAATTTGACCATCAAGCTGTAACACAGAGGAATTTTATTACAAAATTTCAAAATAAAACAAGAAATTCTCCTCAAACTTACCAAATCTGAAATACCAGCGACGACCAACAAACTTATAGCCAATTCATAATTCCCATCGACTATCACATACCCAATATAAGGCGACAGCACCATACGTCCCATTGTCAACATATTCGGTATGGTCATGATATTCTCACGCTCTACCTCTTCGATTTTTTCACGAACCCTCTGTTGGACTTTGTGACGCGCTTCCCTAATATCTTCGGCAATGACATTTTTACGTTCTATAAATGATTCTCGTTTTTTGTCAATCGCATCACGAATATCGTCGGCAATAACATTTTTACGTTCGATAAACTGTTCACGTTGTTTATCCAAAACATCCTGCAGCATATCACGACCCTTAAGGGTTTTCATGTGCAGCAGCTGTTTTTTGCGATCGGCATACATACGCAAGGTGGCCACATCCCAATTGCGATATTGATTAACGTCCAAAAATGAAATGCGTATAAATCCGGTGGCAGCGGCATAGCGGTTCAGGCAATTCATAACGGCATTTGGCATATGGGAACTGTTGCCCGGCGATACAAGTTCCGTGAGATTTTTAAAGCCACAACCGCGGCGGGCTACTTGGCGGAAAACTGTAACGGGCAACATGTTGGGTAATCGTTGTGAGTTGTTTGGTTGGTCAAGGAATTATACGGCGTGCAAAACTTGTTTCGGATAAAAATCGCTTTAACGAGGAAGGAAATAAATCCAATGTTTACTTTAGCTAGACCTTGGGGAAGAGAAAATAATTCAATTAGAAATCGAAAGCAACAGATTGTGAAACATGTTTATCATCTTGATTTCCAGTTGGTTCTATATGAAATTATATCTCGTGCGACCATCGGCCTCTGACAAATTGACCTTTTGCACCGATTCGAAGATTGTATCCGCTTTTGTTATTATTACCATTTGTAAATGTTTTTTGTTAGGTACGTGTGTGTGTCCTCTATTTACACCAACGTCCTTGATTTTTTAGAACAAAATAAATAATTTATTTCAATTATCACCGAATTATTTTTTTGTCGGTCTTATCTTTCAGCGGCTGTCAAACTAGGTAGGGATACTTAGGTAGATTTTTGCTTAGTTGGATTGCAAGTGTTGACAATGTGCACCATTAGTTTTTTTTCACCGATTTTTAAGTTATTGGTATATTTTTAAGATCGTGATTATTAAAAAATACACAAGTCCAATAATATTTATTATATTTATGTCATGGTCGATTTTCGGTTGGAGAATCTCCAATGAGAACCCTAAAATGGCGTTTATGAAAATAAGGTACTATAAAATCGTCATCATAAGTTGATTTTCCATCCGGTGTACACAAGACCTATAGATAAGGTCACCTAGGGAGACCAGCTGAATATCTGCGACACTCAAAGTTCGGCCGGGCCGAACTTTGGATACCCTCCACCACAGGTATACTGACAGGTATTTGAAATGAAAAAGTGGACCGATATTTGGTACCCAACAAGAACCCATTGTACCAAATTTCAGAGAATTCAGTTGAAAATCGCGCTCAAGAACCTCAAAATACCGAAAATTGGGAGTGCCCTTATATGGGGGCTACCAGAAAAAGTGGGCCCATATTTATAATTTTTAGTAGAGATATTTGGTACCCAATAGGAACCCAATGTACCAAATTTCAGCGAATTCGGTTGAAAATTGCGCTCCAGAACCTCAAAATACCAAAAATTTGGGGTGCCCTTATATGGGGGCTACCAGAAAAAGTGGACTGATATTTATAATTATTAGTAGAGATATTTGGTACCCAATATGAACCCAATGTACCAAATTGCAGCGAATTCGGTTGAAAAGCGCGCTCAAGAACCCCAACCCGAAAATTGGGGGGGTACCCTTATATGGGGGATATCCGAAAAAATTGAACTATATTTATCATTTTTTGTGGAGAGATTTGGTACCTACTAAACACTCAATATACTAAATTACAGCCAATTCGGTGGAAAAATACGATAAAACCCCCAAAATACTGAAAATTGGGAGGTACCGTTATATGGGGGCTACAAAAAAAGTGGACCTATATTTATAATTTTTTGTGGATACATTTACTACCCAATAAGAACCCAATGTACCAAATTTCAGCGTATTCGGTTGACAAACGCGCCCAAGAACCCCAAAATACCGAAAATTGGGGGGTACTATTATATGGGAGCTATACCTAAACGTGGACCAATATCTGACATCATCGAACTTGACCTGCCTGCAAACAAAAGACAAACCTATGCAAAATTTCAGCACCCTATTTCAATTCCTTCAAAAGATAGCGTGATTACAACAGACGGACGGACATGGACTGACGGCGGACATGGCTAGATCGTCTTAGAAGTTTACCCTGATCAAGAATATATACTTTATAGGGTCGGAAATGAATATTTTGATGAGTAACAAAGGGAATGACAAAATTAATATACCCTCCATACTATGGTGAAGGGTATAAAAACGTAAGCGTGAGCAAATCGAGATGTACAAGAGTCCGAATGAAGTCCGAAAATTTTACCAACGAGTAAAACACCAAACCGAAGGCTTTGGCGCAGGCACATCCTCATGTAGAGATGAAGAAGGAAACCTGATTACAAATGCAGGCAGTGTTGAGGATCTGGACTGCGCATTTTGAAAAACTTCTGGTATCAAATAGTGGCGGTGAAGAAATTACCCCAGAACCAATAAGAGATGACGGTATATATTGTATACCACCTAGCCAAGATGAGGTCAGAGTAGCAATTAATCGGCTGAAGAAGAATAAAGCAGCAGGTGCCGATGGATTATCAGCCGAACTATTCAAGACTGGTGGTCAGATGCTGGTCAGGAGCATGCACCAGCTGATTAGTACAATTTGGCTAGATGAATGCATGCCCAAAGATTGGAACCTTAGCATCCTGTGTCTCGTGTACAAAAAAGGAGACAAGGCAATATGTGTCAACTAGAGAGGAATAAGACTATTTCCCATCTCATATAAAGTGTTATCCATCGTTATGTGAGAACGACTGAAGCCAATGGCCAATGACATTATTGGACCATACCAATGTGGCCTCAGGTCTGGCAAAACCACCATTGACAAGATTTTCACTCTGCGCCAGATCCTGGAAAAGACCCACGAAAAACATATGGACACATTACACCTATTCGTAGACTATAAAGACGAATTCGACATCCCCATCCGTTCAAAGGTGTTAACACGGCTATGCAGGATAATTTTAACTGGCACAAGGTCATCAGTAAAAGTCGGAAAGGACCTCTCAGAGCCCTTTAATACCGAACGAAAATTCTGACAAGGTGACAGTTTGTCGTGTGACCTTTTTAACATCCTGCTGGAAAAGATCATACGAGAGGCAAAGGTGAATAGAATGAGACTCTGTACACCAAACAATACATGTTACTCACCTACGCCGATGACATCGAACATTGAGAGCGGTAACAGCCACCTTTGAACAAATTAAGAAGGAGTCTGCCAAAGTGTGTCTGGCAGTAAACGGCTGATGGTATCAACGCGCAAGACATCCAGTAGACTCGGACCAAATGTGGAACATGAGAACTACAGCTGCGAGGTAGTGATCTATTTTATATACCTCGGTAGCGCTACTAATAACATCAGCTTCGAAATTCGGAGAAGAATATGGCTGGCAACATATGTTACTATGGTCTGAGTAAGCAACTAAATTTACTCTCATTTAATAATGTCCACCACTGATCTGTAGCATGGGTACTTGCAGCTCTTGGAGTGTTTGAAATAATGTCGTGTAACATCGTGAACATATAATGTCGAGTAACATAATGTAATGTCGAGTAACATCGTGAAAATATATATCGAATCACTGAAGGCGAGAAATATGGACTTCAGGCAGTTGCTTCTTTAGAATATAGATACTGAGTTTTCTTAAGATATGTTCTTCATATTATATACGATGTAATAAATGAAATGAGTGAAGTAGTGAACACTTTCCAATATTTGGTGCCCGACAAGACCACACTCTGGAGGGAATTTTGTTATAAAATAGAAATATGGTGACAGTCCACTGGTGGTGTTCAGTAAAAATGGACATTTCCTTCTAAGAAAAAAGAAAAATTTAAGAACATTTTATGGGCCTATAATGTGTGAATTTTTAAATAAATGTTTCACAGGAATTGATAAAGTGGTGGAATAAAAAAGGTTCCAAAGAAAATGTGGACCTAAAGGGCGTAGATTTTTAAGAAAAGTTTCAAAATAATTGAATAATTACTTGCCATAAATGATAGACAACATATTTTTATTTGTGTTTACTAAATTAAAGCGCTGTTAATATCACATGCAAAATAAAACTCGATCGGTGTCGCATCCATTTAGACCAAATCGAACTAGGTCAGTAAAACGCTCACATTTGAACTAAAAGGAACGATATTCCAGTTCGTTCTTTTAATGAACTAAAAAGAACGAATTTGTAAGACCTAGTTCAATCGGCCTTTTAAGTGAATCCTTCATTTGAACTAGTTCGTTCGTGAACTGTACAACTCTACTTCCGACTATCCGCAAGCTATGAACGCGTCCTGTAGCATTTAATTTTGCTCTCCATAGAAGAAAAACTTTGTTATACCCTCCACCATAGTATGGAGGGTATATTAATTTTGTCATTCCGTTTGTAACTCATCGAAATATTCATTTCCGACCCTATAAAGTATATATATATTCTTGATCAGGGTAAAATTCTAAAACGATCTAGCCATGTCCGTCCTTCCGTCTGTTGTAATCACGCTATCTTCTGAAGGAATTGAGATAGGGTACTGAAATTTTGCATAGGGTTGTCTTTTGTCTGCAGGCAGGTCAAGTTCGAAGATGGGATATATCGGTCCACGTTTAGGCATAGCTCCCATATAAGGGTACACCCCACACCCGGTATTTTGGGGTTCTTGACCGAGTTTTTCAACTGAATTCGCTGAAATTTGATACGTTGGGTTCTTTTGGGTACTAGGTGTCTCCACAAAAATTATAACGGCACCTTCTAATTTTCAGTATTTTGGGGGTTTTGATCGTATTTTTTCACCGAATAGGCTGTAATTTAGTATTTTGAGTTCTTAATAGGCATCAAATTTCTCCACAAAAAATTATGAATATATGTCCATTGTTTCGGGAAGCCCCCATATAAGGGTACCCCCAATATTCGGTATTTTGGGGTTCTTGAGCGCGTTTTTCAACCGAATTCGCTGCAATTTGGTATTTTGTAGTCGTATATGGTAACAAACCTCCCTACCAAAAATTATTTATATTCGCTCCCTTTTTGGGGTAGTCCCCATATAACCCCCTTTTTTATATTAAAATGGTTATCTAATTTGTTCCGCATTTTGGGTTTGGTTCTAAGAGTCTGTCGTAATCATTTAACCTGCGGAGGATATCGAGATAAAGTTAGAACGTAAGGTTCGATATTGAACTATACATGAACTATAACCCGCATTTAGGCCTAGCACCTGTGTGGGAGGTATCAGAGGGAGTGGACCGATAGTCCACATTTTCGAACCTGAACTAAGTTTGGAAGAATAATAAGATAGGCACAGGTTGGATGAAATCAACATTTTCTGGAACATGGTTCACATTATGGTTTTGGTATTTTCCCTACATTTTCATTTCAACT